CCAGCCACTCTGCTCACTGTGACAGTGTGCTCCTCAGGATGTCTAGTTTAGGAAGTTTTAATAGGAATCCTAAACTATTTGAACCGTAACTCAAAAGCCCAAAAAAGGGGAATGCTATTATAGGAAAGATGGGGGTGGCTTTTTAAGGGAGGGTGGAGGTGGAGCGGTGAGAGACAGAAGATGTCAGGTGGTGAATGCAGGCACTTATCACCTGTCACAGACACTTGGTGATAAGCCTGGCAGGCTGCTGTCAGTGGGGGGAAAAAACAGTTCTTGAAATCTTCCTCGTGCTTACTCAGATATTTCCCTGATTCTGTGTCTTTGAATATCCAGATATGCTACTAATCATTCAAGTGCACGCTCATGATTATTCATGGAAGTCTCTGAGCGTGTGACAGTGACAAATTCCCACCACCCACCAGCAAAGCGACTGCAGACGTGTTTGGCCACACTGTTGCCGTTTTTAGTTTTTAGGGAATCGTCTCCGGCCGTGCTGTGATTGTAGATCTATCCAAGAAGGATTTTGGCTTTTCCCTCAGGAAATATGAAACGTCTAGGTTACTTCTAGGGTAGAGGGAAAGAGTAGGAGGTTGTTGTGGTTATAATTTATTTTTAAGAAGCACCAATGAAGACGTAGTAATTAGCAGAACCACTTTAACCTTCAATGAGACTCTAAGTAGCTGGAAATTGTAAAGCTACACAAGCTTGATGAGCTAAACTGCTATTATTATTATGATCAGTTAATCTAAGAGGGTCAGATCGTATCACTTATGTCATAACTTCAGCTGCCTATTATGCTGACTTGGTGAGACAGAGATCTCATTAAAACATCTTGTAAAGGGTTATTTTCCCCTCACAGTACCCTTGTGGATACGTAAATATCATCCTTTTCTTTGTGCCTGCTGCTGCATCCCCTTTCTGTGACGCCGTTCGACTTGTAGATGGTTATTCTGAGATGTCATTTAATGACTTTTATGAGGGAAAATGTCACATGCATTAAACAAGACCCAAGAGGATTCATCTCCAGAACTCCTGTCTCACAGCTATCCGCTGCCTGACGAATCGGCGAAACCACTACGTGTCATCAGTGGCCGCTTTAATTGCCTTGTTTCTAATTGAATTTCCTTTTAATTTGATGCATATGAGAAGTCATTTTCCACTGTGGAAATCAATGTCGAGGAATTTGGAGAAGTGTTCAATATCTATCACGCTAATCCTTGAGTTTGAAAAGCTCGAGATATTGGAATGAAATAACTTCAGACGCTCAACTCGATTGAAATTGGCAGCCTTGCATCATGGTGTGCTTTTGGAGTGTTTTTGAACTTTGTGGTGCATTCAAATGCTTCTTGAAAGTTAGTAAAGGACACTTATCCATCGTAAAATCACCAATTAAACAATTAAAAGTAGCTTAGTTAATTTATTGACTCATAACCTGGCTTAATTTCATGAGGTAATAAAAGATTTTCGCTCAGACAACAGCATGGAGATAAATAGGATTTGGAGCGCAGGAAGAGAAGGAGTGACAGCTGTGCTGTGTTTGCACCTGCTGCTGGCGACACTAAACAGGAATCAGTGATAAAAGCCAGAATGAACAACAATGCTGAGGACAGGCTTATGACTTACAAGTCAACGACATCCTGTGATCACTGATATGCCCAGTCAATGAAACATTCAAGAATGCTTCTATGTTCAACCATTTGGATTAGTCAAGCTGGTGTGAAAGCTATTTGTTGACTACAGTGTGAGCTAAACAATATTCCTGAAAAAGGAGGGTCTGAATTTACATTACAATGCGCTAAACACGTATGAGCCAAAGCAGCAGACTTCAAAGAAGCATAATGGGCATGACTACTCGGCCGTCTGGTCTCCAGTTGTCCATAAAGGCTCAAGTCCACTCCTAAATTTTGTCGGTTTACCTTTCAAGGTTTTCTGGATCATGACCGTTAAACTTGGATTGAATTTTAGGGAAGTGAATAAAAAAACTTGGGCATGCACCAAAGTTTGGGGCACGAAAACTCAGGATGTTATAGTAGATGTTTTGACCCTGTGGGATAAATTTACAGTGCACAATCCAGTGGAAAAAAAGGAGGAAAAACCCAAACAAAAATAACAAGCATGCTCCTAGTGTTACTCCCAGCCTGACGCACTGCCTTTCAGCTTTTCCACTGAAAGCTGCTGTTTCCAGTCAGGTAAAAACAGCTGAGACACAGTGATCATCTCTGGGGATAATCGTCAACACAAAAGTCCAGCCAGTGTGAAATAGACACAGATTTTTTGCTCTTTAGCAAAGTTAGCCATCCATGGTAAAACGTTGTAAAGGTTTAGTTCTAATGTGTGTTTACTGAATCAAGCCGTCAAGCCTGATTTGTTTGTATAAAGCCAACCTTACCCTGAATTTTACTGTGGATGAATGTTTCACACTGCGCCATCTAAACTGTAACAGCTTTGTCATAAGTGTGCCATCACTTCACTTAGCTTTCTTTTTTTCCCCCCCTGCCTTCCTACAGGACAACAAAAGGACTGACATTGCAAAGGGAATATTTTGAGGGGAAAGAAGTGAAGACAGTTAAATTTGACAATTCAGTTGTCCCCATCATGGCATTCATGAGCTGTGGATATGAGCACAAGCTGTCTAATCTCTCTGGTGATGGAAATACTGGCTGCCGTGTGTGTGTGTGTATACAGAAGTCTGATTTTTGATGTTTTGTGAGTTCATGTGTATCCTATCAGTGTACTAGTTCTGTCTCGTCTGCGATGTACCATTCGACACGTCGGTGTAAAAAAACGTTTTATTGGTGATAGCTGCTTGCGAATGTGGTCTGCATAGAGATCGTGCTCTTTCTCCTAGTGTTTGTTTGTGTGGAGCAAATATCAGCGAATCCCCTACCAGCCTTTGACAATTTAGGCAAATGTTTCGCAGGTCCTTAGTGCAGGAATGTCCCGGCATTAAATATGCCTGCTCAGGTGTGAAAAGGGTCACCAGTTTGCGTAGCCGTTGAATAGCGATGAACATCTGCGCACGAGGAGGGCTTATGCCATCCACTTCGCCGCTGCGCTTCTCTGTCAGCACTCGGCTTTACTTCCTGCCGACTGTCAGCAGAGAGCGAGCCATCGCAGAATCCACAGGGGAGCCTCTGCATTCTGAAGCAGACTTTTATTTAAAAAAAAAAAAAAAAAAAGATCTTCCAGAAAACTCCTCAAACATCCCACGCAGATCTGAGTGTGGCTTCTGACAGCCAGGTGCCTCCTTGAAATATTATGCAGGCGTGCGCACACACGCACACACACACACACATACACACACGTAAGGCCACATCATGGCCAGAATAGCTCAAATAAAAGAAGTGATTGGCAGGCGAAACAGCTATGTTTGATCATTCTTTTTAAATGTTTTTTTTTTCCTTCTCCTACTGTTGGTTTTCCGACTGCTTTTATTTGTGTTTGGTGTGTGCGTGCGTGCGTGCGTGCGTGCGTGCGTGTGTGCGTGTGTGTGCATGCTGTGGCTTCTACCTGAAGCAGAAATGTAAACAGAAGGTTTAGACTTGGTCCCCTCATGTTTATTATGGTATTTGAAAGGAAAGGTGGGTATGTGTGTCTGTGTTGTTTCATTAAGAGTTCTGTGATTTATGATGTATTCGTAGCCTCTGTCTCCATTTCAGGGGTGATAACAAAAGAGATGCCAATATGAGCGTCCACAGTGTCTGTACTGTTCCAGTGATGATGATAAAAGTAATGTTAGCTTCTGTGTAATTCCACTTGTTTATCCTTTTGCTCAGTTTCTCTGTATGATTTTTGCATACCTTTCTTATTCAGTGTTTTTTTTTCTATCTTGTTTTTTTGTGATAAGCCTTGAAAGTGTAGAAAGTATTTATGAGTGCGTGTGTGTGTGTCTGTGTTTAGACATCAGCAGTTGTTCTGTTTATGTGTCAGCTCATGATTTTGTGTATTTTGCACTCTTAAGTTTTCTCTTCTGTGTTTCCATTTTTAGTCATCAGACACAAACGACGTGCTGGGACCATCCAAAGATGACAGAGCTCTACCAATCACTAGGTATAGAACATAGTATTATGTATGAGGACTTAGGCTCCCGACTTATTTTTCAAAATAAATGTCGCTTCAGAAAATTGCTAAGAATAAACTTATTTCCAACTTTATATAGTGTTATTTAGCTGGGGTTTCTTTGCCCAGGTAATAAGATACTGCCGGAGAAATGTACAATGGAGATATTAAAAATTCAATTTAAAAACATTTCCATACCAAAAAAAGACTGTCACGCAAGATAATCCACAGAATTCACTGTCAGCTTTTTTCCCCTCAGCATTTCTTTGGGGGAAAGTTGTTCCAATGCGAACTTTTCACAGTCTGTACTTCATATTATCCAAAGTACTGAGGTTGCTGATCCTGAAAAGAGATGCTGCTGTTAAATATTTCAAATGTAATCTGTCATTCCTCTGTGCTTCACATAACGCAATTTGTCTGTATGATGCTAGGGTCCAAAAACTGTTTTTCTGGTCTTTAGTCCTGTCACAGGGCTTAAGGCGGGGTACCCCATGGACGGGTCGACAGCTCACACAGAGACAGACTCATATTCACAACTATGGGCAATTTACCTCATCTTTGTACTGTGAGAGGAAGCCGGAGTACACAGAAAATGCACACCAGCACAGGGAGAACATGCAGATGCCACGCAGAAATGTCCACTGAGTCAAACCCAGCACTTACTAACCACGCTAACACAAGGCTGGTTTTGTTTTTGTGAACTAAAGTTTACTTAACGTATGAATTAAGTGTTAATTTACTGCATGTGATTTGTAAGTCAGGTAAAATTGTCATTAGGTGTCAGCTGATCGTGACGTATCATAGCTGATACGTTCCCTGACTTCGTCCAACTCTGGCATCTCTAAGAAACTGATTGAGAATCTCAAATAAAGCCGATGCATGCCTACAAAGCAGCGGAAGGCTATAAAAAGATAGCAAAGTGCTCCCTGTCAGAAATGCAGTGAAGGTGAAGAAGAAGAATACTTTAAGACTGAAATGTACATCTGCTGGACCGGGAGGCCGAGTAAACCCTCACATGACTGCAAAGTAGCTGCAGAAAGGTTTAAAGGCTCTGCAGCTTCCCATCAGGGTGTGGGCTGAAGCATCATCACTGTGATCTCAACTTCTGCACAGCAATATCTGCATGAACAAGATCACCTTTTAAACAAGTGATGTGGCTCTTTGAAGCAGACGTCTTGTTTCTGATCAGGGATCAGCACAGTGCTGTAGACCCATTCTCACTTGTCTGGTTCATTTACTCTTTAGATTTGACTTCATGAAGCTGACACCCTGATCTTTTCCCTCTCTCCCCCTCCCTGATAATATCCATATGCGTGCCTGTGTCCCTTCAGGATCACCCGTATGACTGTGGTATTTTTTTTAATGAGCTGCCAGATAAGTAATAACCTGTGAATCTTTGGGAGTGTATTCTGTAGGCCAGGAGCTCAACAAATAGCACCAGACTCCACTGAGATAGAACTCACTAACCTAATTACACAGTCCATATTAGCAGCCTCTCGCCTCAGCCGTCTCCACAGACAATAACTAACAGAAGTCAGATTTCACTGAAGGTTGCTTGTGTTGCCCAGAAGGCAGATTTCTGCTGCATTTTGTTTTCCAATTTTCTGCCTCTGTTTTCCTTTTTGTCCATTTACCTTTTATCTCTCTGTCTCCTTTCCTGCCTGTAGCGGACTTGAACAATGTGAGATTCTCAGCATACCGAACAGCCATGAAGATTCGCAGACTACAGAAAGCACTGTGCTGTAAGTAAGATGAACACACACGCGCGCGCACACACCCACAGACACCTTAATACCTACAGCCGCGGTCTGCTTCTTTTGATGTTTGGGCTCAACAAGGGGATGCAGTAATGATTTGAAGCTTTGCCAGATGCTGTGCCAGAACAGCATAGGAGCCAAGCATATTTTTGGCTTTAAAATTACCCACTCTGCATGAATTTGTGTGCGCGTATGTGCATGATTCTTTGCATACAGAGTCACAGCTGGTGCTTGTGTTAAGCCTGTTGAGCGTAAGCCTCATTTGGTGAGCACAGGTGGAGTTTTGTTTTTTTTTTTAAATAAATAAATAACTAAATACATTCTCAGAATGAGAGAGTGATGTTTTTGTGTTTGTAATGTAATCTTCGATAGGAAGTTGCCATTACTTAGAGTCTCAGGTGGCTATAAACACCATATATATATATACACAAATACACACACACATTACAGGTGCATGTAGACTCCTCCATGTGGGGTTTCAACCAGCATGGCAGTAGCTACTTGGGCTCAGCTCAACGTAATAATGGTGACAAATGTTAACCATTATCCAGCTGTTGACATTATTAGTGCACCTCACACTGTGAGCCTACACTGTTTATTTACATCCTGCTGTTTGTAGGAAGTTTGGAGTGTGTACGAGTGTAACAAATACCACACATCAAAACCGTACCGTTACCTCAGACGGTTGTGTGCATGTGCAGCATGCCCAGCAGGGTATGTCAAAGTGTGTTATTGTGTGTGTTGGTTGTCAATGAGTTTGAATGATTCAGGCGTTTTAGTTTGCTATCTCATATTGCTTCTGTGTGTGCGTGTGATTGTGACGATAATGCATTAGCCTGAGTGAGTTCGACTTGGGGCACTGCGATTCAATTTCATTCATTAGATTGGAGCAGTCACAGTATACAAACACACACTGACATGCACGCACACACATGCACATGGAGGCACAGAAGGATCAGTAGTTATTAGTTATTAGCCTGGATTCATGTGGAATCTTTGCTTGGAGATCCATGTGTCTGACTGTTTGTGATTGTGTGTGTGTGTGTGAGAGAGAATTTGACACACACGTGACGGGGATACTATAAAACGGCTAATTGGGTTAAGTCTGTGCCAGGGGGGTGGAGAAGCACAAATGAGCTTGCGTGGCATCCACTAATGTGCCACAGCCTTTCAGCTTCATACCAGAGTGTGTAATGACAAAGCTGCAGAGAAGGAAAGTTTTGCTTTCTGATAGCACAGCTGCCCTGCTGCGTCCACTCTGTGTGGATTACTCCAGTAATTAGTGCTGTCTTTGAGGGCAGGAGGGTGAGAGATGTGCAGTGTGGAAGTTTTTAAATATTTATAGAAAATTCATTAAAGGTCAGAAGAGTAATGCAGAGAGAGAGGAGTTTACAACTGTGGTTTATGTTCCTGTATACCTGTGAAATAGATTTGAACCTCCCATGTATTGAAATCTTTTGATAAATCTGAAACAAGATGCCGTGACCATAAAGTACGGTAGATTTTTAAATGTTAATGATTCTTTCTGTGGTAATTATCCCACTGTCTGCATTTTACCTCCTGGTTGGTTGACCTGCCAGTGGATCTAAGCAAAGCACTAATTAAAAATCCCTTTGGTATCTGAGCTTCATCCTCACCTATTAATATATTCTTGTACTATGTAACTAGATCCTGACTCTTGTCATGTATTTATTAAGCAGTACGTGTGCTGTAGAAAACAAAGAAGGAGATGCTTTAACATTTAGAGAAAACTGCTTATCTACTTTATTTTTTGCTGACAAAAACAAATGAGATATAATTTGTTAATTAGTGAGCTTGAAAGGTGCTGGTCGGCACTTCGGGCAGAGACAGCCAGCTGTTCGATCCAGTGTCATATTAAAGAGCAGGATTATCTTATTAACTCATTAGTGGGTTGTGTCATGGTTTAATGTCAGATATTTAACAGATTTAAAGGACCAAACCGGCTGTTGGTTTCTTGAAAATGGAGACAATATCTTTACTGTGGAAGCATTTTTGTTTAATAATGTTATGTTATATGTTTCTTAGTCTGAGCTTTTTAAAAAAAATACAACAGTATGACTTCACAGTGACACTCAAAGTTTAATATACTTCCCTAGATTATCAGTATATTGTAATGAAAATAGGCTGACGTCATCATAGTGTAATTAAAACATCATAGAACAGATTTTTAGTATAACCCTTGTCCTTCGAGAGGCGTTACGCTCTACGAGTGCTTTTATATTTCCTTATTCTAAAAGAAGTACTGCACTGTTACAGTTAAAGGCCTCTTACGATGGGGAGTTCATGCTCAAGCACTATAAATACAGCAGCTTCTGTTGTATTTATTTATATTTTAGGTACTTTGTCTCAATGCGCTGGCTTTTTTATTCAATTATCCTCTTCCGTTCGATTTTCCGTCTTTTTTGCCATCTCTCTTGCGCTTCAGATGCGTAAGTGAAGGGGACAGTATGATGGAGGCCTAATTGAAATTCTATATAAAAAATATGGTTACATTTTTGTTTTTGTCATTCTAGAGCCAAGACTCCAGAGAGACTGCTCTGTCTGATTCATTTCATCTCTGTTCCTCGTTTGTCTTTTTTTAGTTCACATTTCTCCTCAATGGATCCGTCTATTTTCTGTCTGTAATTCTGGCCTACCCCTGCACTTATTTTTTTTTATGAACCTATTTTGATAAAATATCAGTCAAGTCTGTAGTTTAGACGTTCTTCTATAAGTAGCCTGTGCCATTTTCAGCTCCTTGTCCTTTTCTGATATCTTGACATTTGTTGAAAAAATCAGAGCAGCTGCTGAAAGCTCAGTGAGCAAGCTGGAAAGGTTACTAATGGTCCTGTGTTTCTTTGTCCCTTTCTTCCATTTTCCTCCCGCCTCCTTCTCCTCGCTGTTTCTCTCCTTCTATATCTCGACCGCCCCATTCATCTGCAGTGGACTTGCTGGACCTCAGCGTTGCCCAGAACACCTTTGAGCAGCATAAACTCACCAATAACAATCAGCTGCTTACCGTTCCCGACGTCATCAACTGCCTAACCTCTATCTACGACGGCCTGGAACAGGAGCACAAAGACCTGGTTAACGTGCCTCTCTGCGTTGACATGTGTCTCAACTGGCTGCTTAATGTTTACGACACGTACGTATGCCCTCTGCGATACATGTTGCCGTACATATTCGTAGCAATGCTTACCACTTCATGCTGTTGCATGCACATGAATGATGCACTTGTTTAAAATTAGACTGCATTAAAGGACCTGTCATGTCAACAATGCACATATTCATGCTGTCATCATGTCATATGCATAAGTCGGCAAGTGCCTCAGTGGGCGTGTTACGCATTGTGCTAATTTAGGAGCAACTTTCATGTGTCAATATAATCTGCTCTCGCCAGAACATACAGTACTCTCTGCATAATCATGTGTGCACTCATACACTGTAAACCAACCATCTCCGCACTCTAAATACCATTTGTGCGCATTCAGAGGAAAAAAGCACAAACAACTCACAACGTCCTGCACGCAATCCTTTCCTTTCCAGGCACATAATGGTTTTATGTCTCTGTTGTTGCATGTAATTCAAATCTGAAATGATCTCGCTACACTTATATTGAATGTATACTCAGAAACACACAGCAACAGTAAATGTAACTAATTTTCACTGTCTGCTTGGTGTCTCCGTGGTGCTGTCTGCAGTGGTCGCAGTGGGAAGATCCGGGTACTGTCTATGAAGATCGGCCTGCTCTCTCTCTCCAAGGGACACCTGGAGGAGAAATACAAATGTAAGTGTCAGCGAGTTGGTGTGACGTTTGATTCTGTACACGTGCATCTAAACCCACTCGCGTCCCTTTCATAAGAGACCAGCCTGTCTCCGATTTCAAGTGATACTGCTGCACGATGGCTGTACTCCCAGCAGTATTAATCAAACTCGAGACGGAGAGGAGTTAGAAATCGGGTCGTCTAATTGGATGAGAGACCTCCTCCGCGTTTCTCTTGTTCTTTATTTAATTTTCTATTCTCCCTTATTTTTTAGGATTAGGGAGCGTGAATATAGGCTTGCTGCACTGGGAGGAGAATGTCATCCTAGCTTCCTGCTCTTTGTTTTTGCTGCTTTATCTCTCTCTCTCTGTCTCGCTCCCTGTCTTCCTTTGCTGTCACTGCTCACGCCACTGTTCATCCATCTAACAGTTCCACTTTATCTTTTGTCCTGTCTTACTTAGTCTTGCTTCCATCCTCTTTCCTTTCTTACTCTTTCGCCTCCTTTTCTCTTCCCATGGCATGGACTCCATCCCTGAGCCTATTCGTTCCACTGGCAGTTTCTATTAGCCTGAGAAGGGTATCTAGCATGGTTGATTGCGTCCTTCCTCCTTTACTCTTTTAGGGTCTCATTGACTGTCAGTCCCTTGCAGATAGCTGCACTGCATTGCGCACGCACCTAACTAGGTGTCCTGTTATTTGACACCCATTTTTGACAGTTGCAAATGTCAGATGTATATCTGTACTGGACTGATTTCATAAGAGATGTGTACGTGGGGGGGATGGGGTCAGAGACATGTAATTGCTGTCTCTCTTTTCTTTTTTTCTTTTTCTTTTTTTGCATGTGCAATCCATGAACACCCACACACAGTCATGGCAGGAGCTGGCATCAGGACCAGGCTTCATAGAGAGATCAAAGACAGTGGCAAGCGGAGCAGAAAGACCTGTCATGCCCTCTGTTTTTTCCTCTCCTCTTTTTCTCTGGATTACACTCTCTGCCTTCTTTGCTCATTTTGTGCATGTGCTCCAGCGATGTTTCGTAACCTCATCTGGGGGGGTGTTGCCAACATGCAGAGTAGCTTAGATAGTGTGTCATTGGGCAGGCATCCATATCCAGTACGGAGCTTTGTCAATCTCCGTGAGAAGGGATGGAAAGATGGAGACGGGGAGGGAAAGATTAGAGAAAAAAAGCCTGCTGTGGAAAAACTAAATGCATCTGTTCTCTGATTCTTTTTGTCCTCCCTCTCACCCACATATACACTAACGCTTTTCCCTCCCACTCCCTGCTATATTGTCACTCTTTCCTTCTCTACATCTTTTCTATTTATACTTATTTTTATTTTAAATATCACCCACATGCTCTAACTTTCTCCCTTATTCCTTCTCTTTTACCTCACCGCTCCTTCCTGTCCTCTCTCTGCAGACCTCTTCAGCCAGGTGGGGTCAGCAGGTGACACGTGCGACCAGCGGCAGCTTGGACTGCTGCTTCATGAAGCCATCCAGATCCCAAGACAGCTGGGCGAGGTGGCTGCCTTTGGAGGCTCCAACATTGAACCCAGTGTTCGCAGCTGCTTCCAGCATGTATGTTCACACAGAAACACACAAACATGTGCATTTAACACATCACATTAGTGTACACCTACACACATCTGAAGAATACAGAAGCACATAAGCTGTTCATGCCATAGTCTTTTAATGTTCTTACCACTGGATGGATTATAAGCATGGGGGGAAAAATCCATTTAAATTCCATTTAAATTCTTTTTTTCCCCACATGTTAATGAATAACAAGTTCAGGGTTTTTGTTTGTAACAAATCTATAACCTCAATCTGATTAATCAGTGATTTTTCTCCGTGTTTAAACTATGATTTCACTGGTTTTACCTCTAATACATAAGCTGAAAAAGATTTTCTTGTTTTGCTTTGTTTTTGTTCTGTTTCGTTTGACAAAAACAGTCTGAATGTGAAATTGTGATTGCTTAACTGGTGGGGGAAATCAGATGGCATATTAATGACTAATTAAAATAAAGGTTTGAAAATGTGTGCTGGGCAGATAGAATAGAAATGCTAGGACAAAATGAGCCCAATGCTAGTCGACTCAAAATTACCTCTTTATTGCTGTTTTTCTTATATATGCTCATTTTAGTTTGGGGAAAAACTATCTTATGTACACATATTGTGTACAGTTAACTGATAGTCTGGTGCTCATGTGTAAGCAGAAGCTTTAAATCTCTTCTTAAGATAATATATGTCCTGTTAGCTACAGGGTTCATGTTATGCTTTATATTTTTATATAACTCATAACGCCGATTAGGCAATCGATCCCTGGGGATTTTTCTGTTAATATATTATTCATGTCTTCCTCTGGAACCTACTCCACCGTATCATATTTATTTCTATCTTAAGAGACATCTTCTTGTTTGTCACAAGCACATTTTGTCTCTGCCATCTGTCACTGCTTGTGAATACTTGTAAAAGAAAAGTCTGATTTTCCAATTATCCAACAAAGATTTCTTGCGTGGACACTGCTTTGACACTCTTTTGATTCAGCTTTCTGCTAAAAAAGCTGAAAGGTATGAGCTTAAAAAGCGCTGCCAAAAAAAGTTGATTCCGTTCATCTTGACGTAGCGTTTTCAGTGCAAGAAACTACCTTTGCACAACGAGGGAAAGTAGCCCACTGAATGAACAATGGGCTGTAAGGTCAGTTTCTTCATCATTAAAATGCACATTGTCATGACCATTGATCAACGACCACTGATCTATGACCACTGATCAATGGCCATGAGTACCATTCACAGAGAGTTGGGGAATGGCTGCAATCACAGCATTTTAGGATGGTGAAAGATGTACCCTTAGGCCCCTTGACTCCCCACTCAAACCAGCGTTCCTCCCTGTCCAGGATGTGTACATCCTCATCATTGAAAGAGTGTGCACTGGCCTGTAGGTGTAAATAGACTGCAGAGTCCTGGCCTGACGAGGTAGCTCTTCTGTGTTGTGCCGTCCGCTTAGCCAGAGGTTGTTTGGTTTCCCCGATGTATAAATCATCCAGTCCTCCTGGCACTTAACAGCGTGCACTATATTACTCTGTTTGTGCCGGGTGATCGGATATTTGGGGTGGGCCAATTTTTGGCACAGCGTGGGGTTTAAAAGCCACAGAGTCCACAGTGTTTAGAGGAAATGCGTCTCAGCTTATTCCGATACTCCTGACACATACAGAATCTCTATAGGTTTTCGCTAAGGCAGCAGTTGTCCATGTCTCCTGAATGGCCTGGAGCATTCTTTGGGTGCCTTCTTAGCTTTGACAAATGTCCAGCTGGGATAACCACATTAACTCGGGGCCTTCTTGATATCATCTTCTCCTTCCATGGCTGCTTTATCAGTGGGGTGTGCTATATGACATTATTATTCAGTGCATCTTCCAAAGGCTGATTATCATCGAGCATCTGAGCTTTTTTCACCTTCTCCAGCCACCTAACACCAGATCCTGAGAAAAGTACTTGAGTGTTTGAGCTCTGCTAACCAACCACAAAGCCTCAAATGGCCTCCGGTGCTCTGCTGGCTGTCCTCTAGTATTTTACTGCAGTCAGCTAACCATTTTTTGCGAGTTTACCTCTGGACATTACTGGCATTTAATGATGTCCTTATCCCCCCAGAATCACTGTTTCATTTCTCTCACTCTTCCTCCCCCTGGCTCGTGCTTCGGTGGTCATAAATGGGAGCCAAACATTAAAATTAGGAAGCTATAAATTTCACTGATTTCCTGCCGCGCGCCTCCCAAAATAGCAGAGGGAGGCAGTTTTAAACTTTATCTCTCCCTCTGTTTTCTTCTCGAAATATTGCAAAGAGGCAAACACCTTGCTGCCTCGCCTTGATGTCATAATAATACGCACATATCCACAAGGAGATATATACATGCATGAGTGCACACACTAGCTTATATGGACATAAATTGCTCACAAACTTGGTCGTGAATTGCTGTGCCAGCTGTAGTCCAGTTGCTCATTAATCATTCAATCATCCAGCCGGGTTGGCAAGTGGAAACCAGGCAGACATAAACTCTCACGCTCTCTCTTTTATTTACACATGCATACACATGGACGAGCAAAGCCCCATGCCACCTGTGTGTCAGTCAGCCCCATCAGTGACAGGGCAGTCGCTTATTCCATTTCCTTTAATGGGGTCTGTGATAAATGAGTTGCGCCGCCATAAATATAGCCTCTTTCGCCATTCCTTTGTTACTCTCCTTCATTTATCCATCAGTCCATCTATCTAGTCATCCTTCGAGACACCCAGCAATTAATCTGTAAGTGCTATAATTCTGCCGTTAGATGGTAAGTAGGAGGGAGAGAAGGCGCAGATCAGACTAATGTATGGGAAAGGAGAGATGGAGAGGTGGTGCATGGGAAGATCAAATGAAAGAGTGGAGGAGCGTTAAAGACCATTTGAGAAGTCATAAAGGTGAGGAATTAATTGGATGTGTTCTCATTTATGAATCTGAATCTTAAAAGCTGCCTTCAATTTAAAAAAACCAAAAGAAAAACCCAAACCTGCCTCAGAAACATTAACAGTTACCAAACCCAAGGTTAATTTTTTAAAGCTAAATCTCACTTTAGTACTTTTTAAAGACAATGTCAGTGTAAAACCAGAGTTTCATAAAGAATACCAAAATATAGCTTTCTTTGATTACCTGCAGTTAATAATATATATGTTACATGGAGCATGTTATTATTTTATTTATAATTGAGTAAAAAGAGCCACCGATACAATGAATTCAAACTAGAGCTTCACCAATATCCAGTGTAGATATTTGCTGATTTACAGTATCGTCGTCTGCATTTATGACACAGTTAGGATAAATGGGAAAGGCTGAGAGTAAATGAGTACACCATGGCTTTTTGGGATAATTTGAAGGCAGTTTTGATTGATAAAATCAATGATGCCACATGTCAATATGTCCTGTCTTTGATCAGTGAGCTAAGTATTCAGCTGTTTTCCCTTTAAAGGTTATCAACCACATATTTAGATAATATTAAGGGGTTTTAAGGCCAGCAGACATATTTACAAGAGTCAGGAAGGATAGGGTTTGTCTCTGTCACCACACTCCTATAAACAGTGCAAATATTTCCCTTTTAGATTGGCATTTGAAGCAGAAAACGGGGATATTTGGCTTTTTGTTTGTTGAAATGTATCCTTTTTCTATCTGTTCCACAGATAATTTTAAATTAAGTGTTACTGTTCCACAATACCTTTATTTTGTTAGTTTAAACTTTGGGATGGTGAAGGAAAAAAAGCTTAGAAACCTGACTTTGATTTGAGTAGAAGTAAAAAAATATATATATATTCTGTTCAGTAAAACAAAAGCTTTGAGAGAAGGTAAAGACATCCTGACACTGCTTACATTGAGAGTCCAGCCAGAACAGGATTTCTTTGGTTTAAATTTGAGCTGGAATTTATTTTCAGAAGTATATGTAAATAAAGTCGAGATGCCGTATAGTCCTGCACACCATAAGCCTTGAAAAGGGATCAGGAGGAAACACACAAACACATTTACTAATGTTATTCCTTTTGATTGTTTGCTCTTCTTGTTGCAAATGCATTCTGCCCTTTGCTGCCCTTTTGTGTGTCAGGCATGATGGAAAGGTTGCCTTTGATTTGTTTTGCAGTAATAGCAGCCATGTCAAAGCTTTGCTTCATGTGTTGACTTTTCCATTGGGTTCATTATTGTCTGCAGATGAGCAAAGATCCAGCTGAAAAACATGTTGTGAACATTCCTGTGTTGGATTACGGCACTTGTTGGAATCATTTAAAACATTTGATCAAGTTCTTTTAAGCTAATAAAGAACTTAAGTTATTGAAACAGGAGATAAGCAGACTGTTTACTCTGCAGTTTTCATGCATAGTACTGTACACGTTACACCCCCAAAAGTATAAAGCAGCACTTATGAGTAGGAGTTTAAGAGCATTTTTCAAAGGTATCTGCACAGAGCAACAATGCTGTTATCTAACAGTGCAACTATGGGGTATGTAGGGCAGAGAGGGTGTTAAAATCAATCATTGTTTACTGTAAGATATTTCAACCAATAAACATGAATAAAGAGCTCATAAAAGTTATTTAGTCTTGGTTCACAATTCAAGGCCTTAACGAGCCGCAGGGACTCATCACTTTAATATGTACGGTCATCTTAAATTTGTCTGCGTCTTTATTGCGTGTTTGGTAACAAGTCAGAAGTTATTGCCTGTTAGTTATTTCTGGTCTGCGTGTTTTTCTCCCATGCTGCAGAGAGTGCCTTTTATATTTTATCAGCTCTCATTGCTGAACCTTTATTGAACTGTAAATCATATGATTGATAAACCTTTGATTTAAAAGCCTAATTCTTAATCCTGCCCCCTTGTTCTTTTTAAATGTCCAGGTAAACAATAAGGTGGAGCTAAAGCCCAGAGAGTTCATTGACTGGATGCGTCTGGAGCCTCAGTCCATGGTTTGGCTTCCTGTCCTGCACAGAGTGGCTGCTGCAGAAACGGCGAAACATCAGGCCAAGTGTAACATCTGCAAGGAGTGTCCTATTGTTGGCTTCAGGTAAATACACATATTCCTATTTAGCATTCAGGTCGGCATTTGCGTAACATGCCAAATAAATAAAGGTGATAAAGTCTGCAACTTGTAACAGGCTCCACACACACACAGCAAATCTAGAAGTGTTCTGCATTGTTTTCTCCTGGTTGAGCATAAAGGGCAGGTCTGCTCTGGAGGGCAGGCATTTATCTAAATGTCAGCAGCTGATACACCACTGACTAAATACCATCCGGAGGTTTGCAGTGGAGCTTGCACAAGTACTCACAAACAAAATGACATCCTCATACACACAAACAGGTAGCACACAAACAGGTAGCGCACCACCAGATTCTCAAAAATTTTAAACAGCTGATCACCCAGCTAACAACTGGCAACCACCCAGTGATCCTGTGCAGTACTGACACACACAAACACGTGCTCTAAATATTGCCTGTCTTTTATTTGGCTACTGCTCTTACTGAGCGAAAGATCAACAGGTTTATTTATTTCAAAACAAAATTCAGGTTTTCCACTGGCCAGCATGATGGAAATGCTTTTTGTGTGGCCGGAGATGGTAATAACCCCACCTTTCTAAGTAAGGTTAGGTGGCAGGATTGCCTCCTTTGGATACCTTGCTTTGCCAGCAGAAAGAGAAATACGCTCAGGCATTTGATGAAGCACACATCTCCCAAGTTGTGTCATTGATCGATGAGAGAGCGCGATAGTGGGAAGGAAAGGCAGGGAGCAGGAATGAAAGGGGAGGAAAAATGCATAGCAGGCATTTTGTGTGGTCTTGAGACATGGCACCAACTGGGTTTCAAGTAGTTTTCATGTTCTTCAGAATATCAGTAGGTTTAAAATTAGCCTCGGATGAGGAGGGTCGACATATACGTTTGAGTTGACTGGGTGTATGTTAACTCAATTCTGCAAATTAGTGAGATAGGTTATATGCCACTGAGTCGTATTTGCACTCTTGGTACTTTGCATGTATTTTTTTTTTCTTGCACTGTTAATTCTGACAGCAGTCATCACACTTTGTTACAGCAAAATCCTTGGGAGCCCAAAGGCTTTACATATTTTGCGGGGCTAAAAATTCAAAATGTAATAATAAGAATCGGAATGAATCGTAAACTAATTAGAGTTTATAGATGGATGGTTTGATTAAATTAATATATTTGTGGTTAAGTGGAAAATAGTTATTCACATTGGTTCTCTAAGTACTTTTCTTTTTTCCCAAAAAGAAGATAACAACTTGATAACAACCTTAATACCAAAGGTATTAACAGAACACCCCCCCCCCCAGAAAAAAAACAACAACAAAAAAACGGCAATTAACTTAGATAAACCTGTGAAAATTACAGATTTATTCCTGTCTACAAACACAGAAATTTACATTAATTACCTGCATACAGAGACCAGGCGGAACTTCATGGATTAAAGCAGAAATTCCACAATTAGTGACAAAGTTGCTGCAGGACAGCAGTTTATCTGCAAGCGACAGAGTTGTGCTCTGTTTGTAATGTGTGTTTATAATTTAGATGTCAGTTATTTGGGAACCTTTGCCACGCTGTCTTTGAGTGATTAGCCACTGAGCTGGACTGAGTTTGGAGACAATTTGTCTCCCACTAGGGTGACCTGTGTAATATCCTTCAATCCAAAGTGCAAAACCCCCAACATCTGTCCGACCAGCCAGTCACTGCAACTACTTGGAATAAGTCGGCAGTTGCAAAAACCTAAATGCAGTCTTTTTTTCCCCCCTAATTTGAAGGAGGTTACCGTCCTACTTTAACCTCCTAAGACCCGAACTCTTCCACGGCATGCATTTTTAATTTCTCTTTGATATTTGGGCATATTGGGGCCCGATGAATGTAAAAACAAAGAATTACCAGATTATTTTAGTTTTTATGAAAAATAAGAGCCACATATGAGGATATTTGTTTAAAATTCTGATAGAACAGTAGCAGTATAATGTCCTCGTAAGTGGATATCAGGCCCAAAATTGAGTATTTTGGTCTAAATAACCCAAAATGTGATGTCCACATATGTGGACGCCAGGTCCTAGGAGGTTAATGTTTTGAGACTGAGCCATTAATCGGCCATTCAAGGAACATTTACAACCAAGAGCATGGGCTTAAAATTACCAGTACATAACTGAAGAGGCAATAATGCTAAACGCTAATCAGTTATCACCAAGGCTGCTGTTGCTGTTGGGTTTTTGTGGGGGTTTTTTTTTTTTTTCCACCGCTTGAGTTGATCCTACATTGATCAATAGCAAAAAAGGAGATCACCAAACAATACAAGTTTGCTGGTTACCCAAAGTTGGCGAATTAAATGAGGGCCATCTCAACACCTTCTAAGTGAAGGTGACTCAAACCCCACCCCCATCCCCTTAACAGTAATATGCTATGTGTCAGTACATAATGGCAAATTTGACTTGGAGGTGTCATGCGCACTGTTGCATCCTTTGATATATAGCTCTCTTTCGTAGCTCATCAGTCAGCTAACCTTGGGAGAGCTGGAAAGGAGAGAAAGATAAAAGACTTAAGCTATTATGTCTGAATGGCTCCTGTCTCAATTTAGCTGTTAAATGGCCTTCTGGCTACAGCTGCTGCTGAGGACAACATCCCAACAGTTGTTGTCACATTGTTGTGCTTTGGTGAAAATCCAACTGTCTGTCGCTCTGTCAGCACATTTTGTGTGTGTGTGTGTGTGTGTGTGTGTGTGTGTGTGTGTGTGTGTGTGTGTGTGTGTGTGTGTGAATGTGTGTTTGTGTGCACATAAACATATTCATGCAGCAAAGGTTGATGGAGTGACTCTGGAAAACAGCAGCTCTCCAGGTGACTCCGGAGTAGCCTGTAGAGGAGTCGTGTTGTAGTGGTGTATATGTGCCCACACACCCAGAAACACATCCTGAAGACATGAAAGTGACACACACACACACACACACACACACACCGTCCCATCTCAACTTATCTCACTTTTCACCTCGCCCTCTCTCTGTCTCTAGGTATCGCAGTCTGAAGCATTTCAACTACGACGTGTGTCAGAGCTGCTTCTTTTCTGGGCGCACCGCCAAGGGTCACAAGCTTAACTACCCAATGGTGGAGTACTGCACACCGGTAAGAAAGTAACACACACACAGACGTTGCTCACTAACTCATCTCATATCTCTTTTCCACATGCTCACACATTCCACTCATCCATTTAATGAAAGCACACGAATTCGGGGTTCAGACAGACTTCAGGCTTTGGTTACCTCCTAACCCATCTTTCATTAAAACCGTTCTGTGCCTGATGTCATAAATCACTGACTCGCACTCTTCCCACTCCTTGAATATTCATGTCCTTTTTTTAATACCCGTTAAGGGAAATCCGAAGTATTACAGCAGCACATTCATACATATTTTCATTTCCAATTTCTTTGCCCTTATTTTGTGCTTTTTTTTTGCTGTTCTTTTCATGTTTTAGTCTCTGGTTTTCTTTGTCTGGGTTCAACCAGAGTTATTTATTAAACGTGGATTGTTTGAAAGTCATTTGCATTCATCTGCAGCTAAAGTAGACTGCACTCTTCTGGGAGGAAATTTTTTTGAACTTTGCTGGGAGTTTCTCTCTGACGTTCACAGCAGCCTCAGTGAGAAATTGTGATAGATCAAGCTGTAGACTCAGGATAGGTTCACTTCTAAAGTATTGGGTAGGGTTTAGGGCAGGAGGAGTCTAGAGTTAAAAAGTATGAAAATGCATCAGTTCCTAAATCGTTATATGATACCGCATATACATGATGAGAATGGTAAGGTAGCATGATTAATGGAAGTTACTGGTAAGTATTTAGTGTATGAATTTTCTAATGAAACTGACAGACAGCATTTAATGTGCATAATACCTTGGCAGTCACCCAACGTGCTGAAGGTGGTTGGCATTTTACAGAGAAGTCAGAAACTGCGTGTATCAGAGGGCACAACAAGAGGCAAACGTATCGGATGTAACGTAGATTAGAAACAGCCCGAATCAAAACACAAACAGACTTGTTCACATCACGTTATACTGACGACACATTTAGTGAATCTGAAGCATCTAGGCTTTAACTAACCTCTTTTTTTTCCCCTTTAAACTAGGTTCTGTCAACTGCAGAATTTCTTGTTGCCTCACATGCTGTTAAATTCCTTTGTCTTGTTTCTCAATCAGCCCTCCCGAAACACCCCTGGCTTAATTCCGAACGTACAAATGGTAAAATACTCAAGGTTATATTTTTATCCTTCCAAGCCAAAAATATTTCACTTCACAGCTAGAGATGAATATTGGAAAAACGGGAGCTTGGCAAAATTGAACCTTGCTCTTCTCCTCAATTAGGATCTAACACTTGTGGGCTGACTCTTTTCAGTATTGCTTAACGTCATACTTTGAGTGACTCGAGTTTCTCTCGACATTTCTCATTTCTGTCTTTTAATTAGCTTTTTCAATTTCCTAAATGGGATAGATATTGACTTTGGAGGAGTGGCTGTAGGGAGCAGTGATCACTCTTCCCTGAGTTAAAATGCCCAGCAGCTGCCTGACAGACTTGACTTTGAAAAAACATTATTTTATTTTATTTTTTTTACTTTCAGCTGTGCTGCAGCAACAAACACTTAATCTGTTGGTTAATTATTAGTACTCAGCTACCGGGTAATCACTCAAGAGGTTACTGATTCCCTTCACTGAAAATAAAAATGGGGGGGAAAAGGCTTTTTCCGTTTTCACTTTTCTTATTTTTTTCTTAAAATCAAAGGAGATTTTATTGAGGTCTTTCTCGGCCATTTGCACACATGTAAATGAAATGCAAATCAAATACAGCAAAGATAATTGAAACTCTGACTAAGATTGATCTGTGGATATCCACCTCTACCTCTGTTGGAGCCAGAGCGAAGGGAGGTACTTCACGGGTTGCCCAACAACCCATGCAGTGGAACAAGACAGACTTAGATATGATTGTGAACTCAAGGGGGCCACGCTCATGCAAGAGATATGATGGCAGATCTTGCCAGAGGGACAGTAATCAGTGTTGCAGAGATCTCTTTTCATGACAGCAGCCTGAAAAGTGCAATAACAAAACAAAAAACAAAGATTAAATGAATATTTTAAGTTGTCAGCCAGAGTATTCAGACTCGTGTCTGCTATAACAGCTGCAACTTTCTGTTTGCTTGCATGTGTCTGAAAGGATGTGACAGCAGCATAGTATCCACAGGTTTTTCAGCAAGGGAAATGTGTGAGGAGAAAGAAAGAGTGGATGGGGCTAAGTGCAAGAACAACACAACATGGTGAAGCTGTGTTTTGCTCAAACACTGACGTAAAGCTTACAGCCAGATCAATAAAAGATCACGAAGAGAAACTTTGAAAGTTTTGACTCAAATCCCCGTGTAAAGCCCCAAAACTCAACTCCAGGTTCATAAACGCTGCATATCCATCTCCACGGAGCTTTATTGAACCTCAGCACAGTGAGGACTGGGAGGAAATCACCCAGATCTTGCTGTTTCAACCTGAGAGATATAGATCTCTGACGAAATAATAAGATGTGGATCACCTTATTGTCTCATTTTAAATCTCACAGTTCAGCGTAGCTTTATCTGCACCTGTATAGTAAAAGTCAGACTTTTTTTTAATTGTTTTTTTCTTTATTTCCCTCAAAAAAAACAAACCCCAAAAAACCATCAGCATGATATGTAATTATACTTGTGTGTCTCCCCATGCTCGAACCAAATTGTGTTTCAGTTTTATGCTTTTGAAAATATTAAGTCCATATTGAATAATAAACGCATTTTGCAGAGAGTTACAGATTTATAGCGGCTTTGGTGAGACTCACTGCGGTCATTTAATAAGATTGTTTTCTCATCTTTGTCATACTGTTTATTTTATGGCCACAATATTGTATTTTTTTTATTGGCTTATGATTTTTATGGGAGTGCTGTCTTCATATTTCTCATTGTCTTTGTCAGGGATATTAAACAACTTTGGGGCGTGATGTATTGATTACCGTAATTTCAAAGTTTTGAACTGTCCTAAGAGAATATTGTGTTTCAGTTTGACTGCGATTGCCTGTCTGGTCATGTTATTGAAACGTCTTGACTCGTTTCCAACTGGGGTCTTATATCCCCCCCCCAATGTAATAGAGGCAGTAGAATAAAAAATGCATGTCTCTCAATCCTCACAGGAAGGAGCTTACACACATGCACAAATTTTTCTCCAGCTTTAGTATAACTCTTCTGTAATTGCTGTTGGTTTGCTCAGGCTACCATCCTAAATTGTGTGGATTAGTCAATAAGCCGAGTGAACTCAATAGAGTCTGTTCATTTATGCATATCTGTCAACTGTAGGAGCTGTGTATTTGCCTGCCTGCGTGTGTGTGTGTGTGCGCGCGTGCCCCTGTGTGTGTGTTTAGCAGTGGTTGTCTGCATCTTTTGGAAGGGATTTTCTCTCCCTGTGGTCAAACCCGTTTGGTAATTTACTGGTTGCTTGCGTGGCGGAAAGCGCACCTCTGCTAAGTATCTAATTAGCAAACACATTCTCTTACACGCAAATGCTTATGCGTGCAGAAGAGACTGTAGAAATCTTTGAACTCATTGCACACCACAATAAATAATAAGCGACCCCCTGCCCATCTATGTTTTTTCCTCTTACAGACGACATCAGGTGAGGACATGCGTGATTTCACCAAAGTGCTGAAGAACAAATTCCGATCTAAGAAGTACTTCGCCAAACATCCACGGCTAGGTTACCTACCAGTACAGACGGTTTTAGAGGGCGACAACATGGAAACGTAAGTAACCCATAAGGTTTTTTATACGTGCTTTTGGATCACAAAAACTTTTCCATAGTTGCTATAACCCTTAAAGGTTGTTTTGTGTGTCCACACTGTTGTTAAGGACTATTAAGCAGCAAGTTAACCCTCCACGCGCGATGCAATATCCTCACGCTGGCATTTCTATTTGTGCTACCATTAAGGTGTAGGAAGGCATAAGAAGACACACTGACTATTCCACCACATAAGCACTGATATAGTCTCAAGTTTTCAAACTGTTGCAACATGTCCCAGTGTACATCTGTATATCTCTGAGCTTCAGTGCTGGAGTAACATTAAAATGGTGATAAAACCTGATACCGACTGTACACTCAACTCAGCTGCAGCAGCTTGATTTTTGTAACCTGGTGCATGACTAGCCAAAGTGTCACAAATATGGTGGCACGCACAGAGTTTGACGGCACATCATGTGGCAGACGCCGCAAGCATAAAAACACCATTAAAGTTCTTAGAGTCTTGTTTTGAGGGCATTGAGCCCCCCAGCATTTCTTTAAATTTTGCTTTCAAGGAGACAGACTTTCTTTCACTTTCATTATAGTGGTCTTGAGTATCAGTTCTCCAGGGTTCTGAAGCTCTTTGAAAGTTTTTCTTTGACACTGGCTGCCTTTTGCTTATTTCACTCATTTTCAGTCCAGTCCTGCAACCTGGCCATTTTCAATGTTTTGGTTTTTCTGTTTGATTTAGGTGCCTTTTTAATGCTTGAATGATTCATATGTCAGTGCTGAGTGGCTTAACAAACAAAGGATGAAACACTGAGGCGCCTACACACAACTTAGAATTTAAAATTGGTACTTTTCTATCTTTAAGCACTTTGTCACTTGCAGCCTGTCATGAAAACATATAATTTGTTCCCATTTCTTTAGTTCGGTTTATGAAAAATGGCAAAGATAACAGAGTTTGACAGGAATAAAATAGTATTTTTGCACCAACAAAGTGATTCCCAAAGAGCTATCGGCATAGTGTGAACTGTGTCTGTGGTAAAAAAAAATAAATTAAGGACACCGGACAAGTGGGAGACAAAAGCAGGGCTGAAAAGCAATCTTCAAAAGATGAACAGTCACTGAAAGTCATGTCCTTAAGAAATATGAAAAAATCCAGCAAAGACTTAACTCAAAGCTCAAACATGCATTTAGTCTTTCACTCCATTCATCTAAATTTGGGATTATTTGCTCAGATAGTCAACAACATGTTCAAAGGAGGACAGGGGACAGCTACAGCAGCAGTGCGTGTCTGCAGTTATCTGCATCTTATCAAAATTGATAGAATTATGAATTCACAAAGATGTGCAAAAGACAGCCAACCTCCACAGAGCTTTGGACTATCCTTCAGTAAGGGACAGAACTGTGGTGTTCGCTGCATAAGCAACAGTTAGCACTAACACTCTTTTTCTTAATTCTTAGAAATGGACCAATTGAATTCAAGCGGGTGCACTGTGGATCCTTTGTCTGCAGCACTGGCCCAGTGATTATGTCTAATTTATGTCCCTTCTGCTACCAGCCTTAAATCCTACTGAAAAGAGCCATTTAACTAGGCCCATATTATGTAGATACCCTACGTCATACCTTCCAGGAGGCTGTCTGAGTTACTGCCCCTTCAAACAAGAGACTCACAATAAAATAAAACGTCCCTCACTGTGCATTTTTGTCCCCCCGTTGTTTCCTTTGTTTTTCTTTGTTAGTATTTTTTTAATGTGCCATCACTCACTCACTCCTAATGCAACATTCATTTCCGTTGAACCATGTAGTTTTTGCATCTTTTAAAGCAAAACAACTCTCGGCGCTGTTCACGTATGCACACACAATGAGTCACTTGTTCTCTCTCAATAAATTTTTCCCCGACTCGTGCGCAGTCACCGTTCAGATGGATTGCCGTACCGCTTTCATCCCTCCCATCCTTGCCTGTCCTCCTCACCTCCCACCTCGCTCCATTTTCACTTCTCTTCCTCTCTGACAAATGACTCCTGCAGAGCTTCTGGTTTGATAAATGTCTCTAAAAGGTAGTGAAATTACAGCGAAATGCAGGGAACTTTTCAAAATATGGCAGAAGCGAATGGAGACTTAAAGAAATTTAGGGCTATTTCATGCTCATCATTTTGTCTCTTTTACAGCATTAGGTCTCATCTGTGATCAGCGGGCCATCCATGTATCGCCACAGGCAAAGAAAGCAGCTTTTGGACCGCCTGTAAGATCTGGCCCAAACATAGCCAGTGTTAAGAAATGCTCCCGTTCATTTTAGCTCTGTATTGTCACAGTCTGGTGGCTTCTGCCATCTCTGCGTCATAAAAATGAATACCGTGACCTAAATTGAAATGGATTTTTCTGTAATTGGAACAAGGTCTGGGTTCCTGCTTTATAAGAGCTTTAATACAGATTAGGTAAACACCAGAACAATTGCAGTCATGTTTGTTGCAGTAAGATAATGCTTGTTTACAATTTTAAAATATACAGTTTTTAATTTCCAATTTGTTTTGCAGTTTTTATTTCTAAATATTAAGAGATTTTAAGTGTCACTCCAAACCTTTTTAGTGCGTTGTCAGTCTTCATTAGTCATCATAACAAAGGGAACTTTTAAGAAGTAGTGATTTTATAGTACTGAGCAGCAGAAGAGAAAATTCGATTGTCTGCTGAATAATCGCCCTCACTAATGCACTCGCTCTCTCGCGTTCCCTCTTCTCCACTCGTGTAACATTGTTTCTTTTTTGTTTTTTTTTGTTTAATTCCACCCACTCTCTCCACCTTGAGAGTGAGCAAAACACCACCTACTCTCACCTCCCACTTATATCTTTGCTTCATTTCACGGCAGATAGGATTTTTGATTCGTCGCAGCTATATTTGATAATGTGAAAGAACCATTCAAATGGTATTCCACTCAGTGTTAGGTTTTTTTGCTTTTCACCCAACCTTACTAGATGGAGCAGATGAGTCTCTGTTGTATTAGGTCTCGCAGGAAGGTTAATGGTTTTGAATGTGGATTTGAAAGCTTGTGGGAGAATTTTCTTATATAACTAAAAGTTTTAATGGAATGATTTGACAAGGATAAATCAATTGCAGACTTTTAAAAGGAAAAGTTTTCCATTGTCATATGGCAGTAAAATAGTTTTTATATTAATTACATTAAGAAAAAAAACTGTTTTATTATATATATGTTTGCTATTTTTAAATACTCAGTGGCCACTCAGTGGGAAGGGGGATAGCTCAGTAGGTAAAGTGGTTGCCCCATGATCGGAAGGTCGGGGGTTTGAATCCACTGAATGTACCCCTGAGGAAGGAACCGTCCCTACACACTGCTCTCTGGGCGCTCCACTGGTGGCACTGGTGCCCACTGCTTCACTGGGTGAATGGGTTAAATGCAGAGGAGTAATTTCCCTACGGTGACTAACACATACACATTATACTTTGTTAGGTACAACTGTTCAAACTCTTGTTAGTTCACATATATAGACAAGATGACCTGCTGATGTTTAAACTGAGGAAAAGAACAAACTAAAGGTGATTTACACGACTTGTAGTCAAGACCGCCTAAACCGAGACCAAGACGAGACCAAGATCAGAGGGTATCGAGACCAAGACCGAGACAAAGTTGAGACGAGACCAAGACCGAGACGAAAAAAGTCAGCCAGATGCTGCTTCGTTTACGGGTGTCAGGCATATTTGTGTTTTTGCTTTCGCACAGCACAGGAGGGATTGGAGCATAGCTGAGCCACTGTGTGAGAGCTGAGCAGCGAAAGGAAATTAAGTGAGGGTAGAAATGACTGAAAGATTAATAGGCTCTGTTTTGAGTTTTGTTAAAAAAAGAATGACTTCACATAGGAAAAAAATATATATCACATATGCAGGACACCTTAAACTAGGTTTTTAATTAAGCAGCAAGGCAGAACAAAGTCGGGGCTGTATCAAGACACATGGACTAAACCCCAATTCAACCAGACCCAGAACTGATCCGGAATTAAAACAGGACTACAACAGTTCAAAATCAGGACTACTTAGGACTTCACCAAAACAGAACCACAATCAAAACTACATGATAGTAGCACTAAAAATCATCATAGACCTGCACTACACTCATTTTTTAATTTGCCAAAGTCCACTATTTAGATTGAGAAAAGTTTATGTAATTATTTAGCCTTGTTGTGCAAACAAGCCTGCATAACTTAATAAATATAGAATTTGAAAAGTAACAAATGGTATCTAAGAAGAAACACTAGGTACTGAATACATGTTCTCATGAGTTTTGGTAAACAACCATTTGACTAACAGGTCTGTCTCACCTGGTTCTTGTTCCATCTCTGTTCTGTCCTCATTCTCCTCTCTCTCCCTCTGTGTGCTGACAATCAAGCCAAACACCAACATCATCAAATATACAGTTAAAACCAGATATTTACACACTCTTCAGCTAAAAACACAAACACTTTTTTAATTGTAACATCAAATCAGACTAAATGTTTAGTTTTTTAGTTTGATAAATATAAAAATTGTATTTCTTAATTGTAAATGGCACTAAATTGTATTCAAAATGATTTGCTTTGGTACCTGGTCAAACTTAAGCTCTCCTCTGTCTGCAGCAAACTCGCAGGCAGCAGCTTCTCCCCCCCTTGTTTTCTTTATTTCCAGAGTTCATCTAAAGAGTGAAGTTTTCTCACTGAATAGAGGTTGTATGAAAGGAAACACATCTGCAATCTGCAAAGCTATCTATCTTTGCAGAGCTAAAGACTAATGTCGGTCTCCTGAAAGGCGAGATGAGCACAACGAGTATTCCTCCAGGCAAAGATTTAGGCGGGGGTGTGTAAAATGCTGCAGCACTGCCTCCAAGAAGTTAGCTCAGCCTGCCATACCGACCCCCATCTCGTCTTTTTTCTCTCTCTCCTCTCCTCTGTCTGAATCTCCTGTTACATTTTGAATTCTCCTCACAGCTACAGAAGTGTGACTACGCTGGCTGCCCCGCTGTGAGAAACATAACCACCATGCCTCACGTCTCCCTCTGATTTTCTTTGCTTTAATGTGGGAACAAAAGCGCGAGGCAACAGAACGTCAACCTCAACTGTTATCTTAACAATTTCTAGCCAGCCTCCTTTGTGAAAACGGCACATTTCTTCGTGTTCTTGGGATTAGAAGGTGTCCCGTTTGTTTACAAATGACAATTTTGTGTTCTGGGTCGCTAAAAATAGCAGCAGTTATTGTGGGCTGGAAAGCAGAAACTTTAAAAGACTTGCATCAGTGTTTTATTAGCAAAACTCGATGACCCGTATCTTCGTTTGTGTGCTTATTGCACTGTTTTTTTAGTTCTCCTTATATAACATATTGTATTGGACTCAATAGCAGATTAACCAGGAAATAGGTTCTACTGTACTGATTTTTTTTTTCCTGGCTTGCTATTTCTGTAAATCCTGCAGGAAATAAATGAGAAAAGGGAATGAATTTAGGCCATATCATTCTGTATGCAGGAGCAACTGTGAAACCAATTTAATGAGATGTGTGTGACTGCAGCAAAATCAACTTGCATCATTAACCCGTTGTGTGTGAGATCTTTCAGACACACACAACCATTGTTTGTGTTACAGGGTGTTACTGACAGATCCAGCTGCCCATTTTCACTTTTTCCAAACTGTTTCCAAGTCTAGTTCTGAAACAGATTGAAGATAACTCCACGAGAGATGGTCTCGGCCACATTCGGTGTATATTTAGATATGTTGGTCACTGTTTTACACGCCTTTCCTGTGTGCACACGGGGGAAGTTTGCGCTCAGTGCTTTCTATCAGTCAGACTCTGTAGATATGGTTGACAGTTTTGAAAGGATGTATTTGATTTTGATTTTGATTTCCCCAGAGCTAAACAAGTATTTTTGCTGAGTAAAACTAACCAAACAGTGACAGAATCCGAAAGTCGAAGAAAGCCCTAAAGGCAAACTTCTCGTGTGCTGAATCCAGGCGCTCAGCAGCTGGACATACTTTTTCCTTCCACTTCTTCCTCTACCTGCTGTGTGTTTTGTTTCTGACCCGCTCAGTGGTTTTTGACCCTGAAATGATTTGTGGTTCCTTTACTTCCCTTCCCTCTCCCCTCCCGATTCTCTTACAGTCCCGTCACCCTCATCAGCATGTGTCCGGAGCAGTATGAGTGAGTATCTACGCCACCAGTAAACACCACCTCGTCTCCAGCCTGGAATGCCTTTTACTCCCTTGTTCACTTACTCATCTCCCCCCATCATCCTCACACCAACTAAGCCCTGACTGCTCTGCATGTTGCCTGCCCACCTGCCTGCCTGAGTCACTGGCTGAGCATGGGACCAAAAAAACTCTCCCCCTGTCTCCTCACCCTCACTTTTTTCTCCTTGTTAGAGCACCCAGCTAGCATTCAGTTGCTGATCCCAGCAGGCCTGTCAAAAACCATCCAGTCGCTCTTTAGATAATCCTGCTCTCCTATTTCTCTGTCTATGACCATGAGATTTGTTTTCTAGGTGATGTTATGAGGGGCTGTTAGGCTGTCCATGAACGTGTGTGTGTGTGTGTGTGTGTGTGTGTGTGTGTGTGCGTGTGCATGTGAATATCAGTGTGTTAATGAGCTTGTGTGGGCTTGCTGAATCTCATTCATCTCCATTACCCCGTTCATTTTCAGGCTGTCCCAGTCACCTCAGCTCTCTCATGACGACACCCATTCCAGGATAGGGCACTATGCCAGCAGGTAGGCACTGGATTCTCCAGTCACCATCCTCTCATTGCAAATGCCACGAAGCATGTGTGTAAAGAATCGATAATTGCATTTAAATGTTGAACGGCTTCTTTTTTGAGGACCATTTTAAAAAGTTTTCTATGAATTCTTGTAACTGCGGACCGTTATCTAATGGACATCAGCGTTTAAGTAGATGCTTTTCCCTCCCCCCAGGCTGCACTTCCCTTCAGTCTTCACTAAAATAATGATCTGAAAGGGGCAACAACAAATGCAGATGTGACAACCAAATTAAATCTCTCCAAGCTAAAGAAATGGAATAAATCGGAAACAGTCGGTGCTTGGAAGCTAGGGAAAACATTCAATTGTGGTTTCTTAAATGTATAATTTATCTAATGTAATTTCCAGTAAATGGGATCTAATTAAGTAAATAATGTGTTTTTAGTACCATAAGATGCATGTGTAGTGCAGGCGTTCATAAGTAATGGAACAGCTTTTCTTTTCTTTTTGTGTTTTAGTGTCATTGCACAGCAAAACATGTCTCAAATGGCTCTTCAGATTCGGAAACAAACACAAAAAAAAGTAAATTCTGCATCTATCAAAGTACCCCGTTGCTTATTTTAGGAAATTGAGCTGGCTCTATTGTCAGGGACATTAAATGTCTCCTACTAGCTGAGACAAAAGAAAAGAAAGGGAGGAAAAAAAGCCCAGAAAGATGGAAATGGCATGGTTCCAGCTAAACTGGAGACGAAAATAAGCATTTCGCCTTCATTTATGTGCTGAAAGTGTCATTTTAAAACTTGCTTCATACAAATTAGAGAAACCGGAATACTGTTTGCCAGTTTTCTTCTCAGACGGCACCAAAGCATCTGATTAAAATCGATAACGTTTGGATTTTTCATTGTTACTTTAAAAATAGAAAAAAATAATTGACCTGAACCTTTCAAGAGATCCATAATAGAAAAATACAACATTTATTGATGTTTTCCAAATCTTGATTAAAGTGAGGGAAATGCGTTTGTGGTAGAGGGAGATTATGTTTGGGTGCCAGGGAAGGCACAAACAATCCTAATATGCTCTTTTTGAACTTTGTGACAATCCATCACAGTGTTGACATACATTAAATATCAGCTTGATGCCGATGTCTGCTTGCTGAGTGGATTTAGTGGCATGCAGCCACCCACCACATGAGCTGGTGACATTATAGATGTGTTGCTAAAATCAGTCTAGTAACAGATTGGCCTGATAGCTGCTTTTAACCGCCTGCTTCAAATTATCTTGCTGTGTACATCAGCACATCTGTATGCACAGTGTGTGAGCTGCAGTTAATCATTAACAGCATCAACAAACTGATGTTTTTAGTAGTTTTTTTTTTTTTTTTTGCACTTGGACTGAATTTCTGTCGTGTTCTTTTAAAAATCATTTTAATACTAAGATCCACTGATATACTTGCTATATCCTATCTGTGCCATTAAAAAGATTTTCTAATTGGTCCAAATCTCATCTCCTGTATCAAAACCCAACCGCAGTTTTCCGGGACTTCTGCAGAAAGCTTTACTCATTATGACTCTCGTGACGCAGCCCTGTAACCTTCCATTAGCTACACATCATTAACCTTCGCTCACTGTTTCTGGTGGTATCGTTTCACTGAAGAAGTGACACCAGAATTACAATTTCAGCTGTAATAAAAACACATAAGAGATTAGATTGGAGCGTACGGATGCGCATGAAGATATGCACACTTTGATGAGATTTCATATTAGAATTATAGCTTCTCCCTTTAATGTATATTCTGTCAGAGATCAACTTCTTAATATTGTGGGTTATATTTTTAATCTGCCCGTTTTACACTGGTGTAAGATGGGCTTTGATGTGGGGAACCAGCCTCATTAGCATGGCTGCTTTGACTGCATATGTCATCAAGAAAACAAACGTTTTCCCCATAGCATGTCGTACATATTCATCCAAACATTGATCCCATACATTAGGATATAAACTGTGCATGCATAAAGTAGAATCACTCAATGATGTAATCCATTTCCTCCCTTAAAAACAAAAAGCACCAAAAAAAAGCCCAAACAAACTGTGGCATCTTTATCATTAACATGCTTGTGGACTCCACGAGATGCTTTAAATTTTAATTGGTCTGCTACTGTGGCATTAATATAATTTGTTGACGCTGTTGCTCTAATGCTCTGTTGCATTTAAATGAGATGTTGACAGCTTTCAAATGGTTTAGTTTCAGCTGGTAATTTCCCTGATGGTGTTTTTTGTTTTTGTTTTGTTTTTTTCCTCAGGTTGGCTCAGATGGAACGCTCCAACGGCTCTCTACCCACAGACAGCAGCTCAGCCACAGGAAGCATGTGAGTCACTGCTGGTCATTTTCAGCATTTTTCTACATGGTTACGTGTTTTCCATTCAACTATGTTGGACAGATTTCAATTTCCAGTGTCTGGGACTTGAGATTTGTCTAATAATATATTGTAACACCCATTTTAATGTTCATGAAGCTGATAATTGACAAGTGAATATGTTCCAGATATCCATATTAGATATTTGGTTTCATTATAATCCTCAGTGAAAACTGTTTACCTTGCTTTGCCTAGCACTTTTTAAAATAAATAAATAAATAAATACCAGGTAGCTTTTGACATCTTTGCACCGAGATCTGGAGACACAAAAAAATTAGAAAGGTTTCTTGGAGAGTAAAAGAAGTGAGAAATGAGGGGGAAAAGACAATGTGGTTGATTAGTGTGAAGTAGAGGACTTTAGAAAGAACGTACTGGATTAGAGTGCCAACAATGACAAAGTGAGAGTGTCTGCTTTCAGGATCTGCGATAACAACAGCGCTATCGTTAATCAAAGGAGATGAGAACATGGCAAACCGTGAAAAGAAAATCACAAGAAATGGGAGAAAAGCTGATGAGGAGCATGCGCGCAGAGGATCCCGATTGTGTTCGTGCTTCTGTCTGCAGGCCTTTCAAGTTGAAGGACGTATTGGTTCCCAACTAAGATCCCAATCGCGGGAATGAGCTGCTCTTGCGGCTCAAATGCCCTCCGAGCTCAAATAGAAACACACACACACACTCATCATTGCGGAGGGAATTACTTCTGGGTTTTGCGTCGTTTTTGGTAAGACATTTGTAGATCTTTAAGATTTTCCAAATCATAGGTTTGGATACGTGCATGGAAAGATTTAAGCTGTTTTTGTTTTTTTTTTAATTTTCAAAAACAATTTGAAGTGGCAGGAAAAAAAACCTTATACAAACGTGTTTTTGGAGGTTTTGGAAGTGGAGAGCAAAGAGATTCCCTAGACGCTGTGTGAACAGAAGCGAATATAGTTTGGGGATTTCTAAAAGGAAATTCTTCTTTAAAAAACAAAGAGTATTTACTGCATTTACAGCACAACAGAGGAAGGGCACACGGGGTGGATGGTTAAAACCTTTGAGAATCTGCAGTAAAGATAAAGCAACTTCGCTGTGTTGTAGGTTGTATCCCCTGCTGATGTGCTTGCATCATGTGGACCACTGCTCCCACACTTCACCTTCAACCAACCTTGATGCTTAGAATAACAGTTTCAGACGAAGACAAAACGCTATTGAAGACTCCCAAAAGCTGCATTTGTCCGCTCTCAATAGGAGGACCGAAGAATGGAAAGACAAAAACTGTTGGCGAGCAGGGCAAAGTAGAAACAGAGGTGGATTTATTTTCGCTCAAAGCTTTCGTAATGCGGGACGAACATATTATCATTACTCCTCCTCACTCTCTCTTTTGTGCTTTGCGCTCGGGCTTATTTAAGAGAAGAAGCCATTATCGTTTCTATCAATAGAAGTAATGTATTATCAACTATACATTGTTATTTGATTGGTTAGTGTTTTATATTCATGGTGCACCATAAAGCCATCTTCTATATATATCCAATTTCAGCAGGGTCATGTACATAATATGCTTTTTAATGCAGTAAAACCTTGCTCTAGTTACTGTGCTTTAAATAAATAACCTGGCCCTGAATGGGGAACATTTGTGCCTGCTGTAAACTGAATAACAGTTTACAGCAGGCACTGTTATATTTCAGCCTAAAGGGTATCGCTAATTGACTGGGAAAATTACCTACATTTAGTCTGTCTGCTGTTACATTTGACTATTGGCTAAACAATCCTGAATTCATCCCTGATGGGAATTGTTACACGTGAAAAGCATAATCATTAGAGCCAGCCTACTTGCCCTGAAATTTACTTTAGACTAGACGTCATGAGTGTCCACTTAAGTGCTTCAGTTCTGCAGCTGAATGCCATTCACAGTAGTTCTAGCAGCTGTTTTGCACATCAGTGGGCCCGTTAGTAACTTTGAATCAAATAATTTTTTTTTAAAGGCATTGTTATATAGACCACTACAGTGAAGCAGCCCACTCAGCCACACGTCCCTCTCTGCAACGAATTAACTCTCATTCCCCTTCCTTTCAAAGCTTTGAGTTTTGAGTGGTTTATTGTTCCCCCTCTTTCTTTTTGCGAGATTTACTTTTTTCTGCCTACAGCTGATTTCACCAAAGCCTCTTTGTCTATCACTGCACTCCATCTGGTGATTTGTAAGGACACACAGTCACAGAAATTATCCCAACTGCTGTAGGAGGCGGCGGTGTCGGAGCTTCCGTAACACGGGTGACTGCGATTGCCCGTTAAATGCGCGTGTTTGGCTTTTGGCTGGTATTTTCAGTACATCCACTCATCTTTAGCTTTGCATTGACTTCAATAATTATTACGTGCGCGTGCATGCACGTGTGCTTCTTTGTTTCGCGTCACTTTTATGTAAAAGGGAATTCTTAATTAGAAACCTAGCGTTGCCTATTTTTATTTCTGACCCTCAACCGAAGCGCAGCGTTGTCATCGGCGCCGTAGGACACCACCGAGGAGCGAGACTCTCCAATTCCCCTTTTGTTGCCGGGCTTTATTGTTTGGTTATCTCTCGCTTTCCAGTCTTTCCCCGAGCACTGTCCCTTTTTCTTGTCTTTCATATTTTGCCCTTTTATTCCTGTTCCTCTCCCTTTTTATTTTTCCAGCCCTTTACTTTTTGAAACCACCTTTCATCCTGCTCGATTGTCCCCTTTTTCTCTTTTCCTTCTTTCATCAGTTTTTGTTCTAGTCTAATCATGCTTTACCTTTGGGCCCAGGCAACCTTCAGATTAAACACTGCAGGGTGTTAAACACTGAAATAATGTTTTAGAGCCCTGCGTGCAGTGCAGAACAGTAACTCTAATAAATGAAGGACTTTACACACAGAAATCAAGGATTATAAATGTTTCTCGCTGGGGGAGAAGAATAAAAGATTTTTGCCTTTGACCGTCTTTGATCCCCCCCTTTTTTTTCCTGTTTCCTCTGGTATTCCTGATTTCCTTGTTTCTCTTTCTTTATATTTTCATCCGTCTTCATCTCTCACTGAGCTTAGACTACTCAGTTGATCGTGGCATTCAGCTTGAGAGGAGATGCTTGCTTTGTGATATGTTAGGTAGACTTTGAGCCTGGAGATCACTGTTGTAGCGGAATAAACTGTAAAAGTCCCCTCGGGCATGTCCTACGCCTTCCCGCGTACCAAGCATGGAATTCATATTCAAGTTGTAGCTACAGTGAACTAACAGCCTTGGTATTCATCACTATTATTCACATTTAAATCTTCTGCCACACTGATCCTCTGTTCCTCTGTCATCTCTATAATTTCTGGGTCTCTTTCTCTTCAGCCGCCCCCACGCTGTGTAAGCCTGCAGGAGGAAGTGCACTGAAAGGGCACTTCCTCCTTCTCTCAGGATTTCAGAGCAGGTGGTCTGTGAGACTGCTCTACCGCCTCTAGTCCCCATTTTCGCACGTAATGATCCCCTTCCTGCAGTCCTCTGGGTTCCTCCTGCCAGCTATAATGTCCTGCTGTAGCTTTCCGTTGTCGGGGACCTTCCCTAATTGGTCACTCGGTTTGTGCAGGACCCCGGTCCTAGTTTCTCTGTAGCGAGTAGCTCCATCTCCATCATGAGCGTCTGCCCTGTCACAGCAGAGTGATAATTCAAAGAGAGAAATGTGATTGTGTGTGTGCCTGCTGGTGTATTGCTGCTTGTTGCAACAACAGCTGTGTCGACTTCCCGTCTCTTTCTGCTTTCTTTGTGCCGTTTTTCAACAACTCAGTGGTTTCAACATCTTCAGCCTTCAATTATTTAGTGAAATTGATGAATAACTACAGATACTTTGTGTTCATGCATATGCCAGAATCTCCATAAAAGTTTCAGAAAGTCTAGGAAAGTTAAGTTTGTGAAGAGTGTGTGAAAGTTAAAGCAGTCATCACACAAACTATATTTGGAAGAAGTGGTATGCAAGAAGAGGCCAAGAGGAGCTGCTAGTTACAGGAGTTTGTTTTTTTTAAGCTATGGAATGTGTTTGTTCTTCTCTGAGAGTGCGGAAAGGTTTAAGCATTACATTCACCACTTAGAAAGTTTATTTCATGTCCCTTTTATGACTGGCAGCTAAAATCTTTACCGAAATACAGGGAAGGTTGAACTAGACCCGAATTGAATTCCTAAAGAAAAGGATGCTCTGAACTCATCATATAAGCTGCTTAGGCCGGTTAATCATAAAAAGCTTTTTTTTTCTGTGTTCATGCAAGGCTGGGCATATTGTTTCTTTTATGTTAAAAAGAGATAAAAAAGACTATTTTGAGCTCCCTTTCATAAGCGTTTCACTCAGCCCATACCTTGGTCATGAAATAGTATAATTACTGTCGTCTCCAGAAAAAAAGGCGTCCTTTTCGGTAACCTCTGTCTGTGGTTATACATGTGACCATAATGGATTCTGAATTTCTGCTCACTACTCTTAAGTGAAATGGAAAACCTGAGACATTTTAGTTTGCCAGATTGTTCTTCAGGGTTATTGTGTTAACTTTTTCTTGATAGCCAAGTATTAGGGACTCATTTGATAGTCTTTTTTGCGTATAGAGAAAGCACCTGCCTAATGTCACTGAGTCAGCTTTGCAGGGTTTTCAGCTCACAGACTCAATTTCACCTCAAGCACAGTATTATGTTCTGTGAGTCAGATAATGTGCATTTACTTTTCATACATAAAACTTATCCATGCTAATAATCTTACACTCACCAGGTTAATTGCTGAGATCTTGGAACACGGATTTAAGCAATTAACGTGTGGCACACACGCTACAGGAAGTGTGAGCAGGTTAATGTTAATGTAAAATAGCATAGAATAATAGCATAAATAAAATAAATATTTATCTTTAACACAGATGTTAAACACTTAAGTTCTACAGATGACGTTAGACTGAAAATTTCCTTTAAATTTATTCACGTAAATTTATAAACATTATAGGACAACAGCCGGAGAAAGGATTTTTAAGTTATAGTGTAACTTTTCGTGTGAGTGTGTCAGGGCTTCGGCTTCAGCGCAGGCTGTGTTTCAGAATGAAGGTGACAGGTGGGCTTTGGCACTACTCGCATCACTGAGATGGCACATAAAGAGAGAGGCGGATAACCACACATGCAGGTATAGAGCAGCAGCTGTTTCTTCCTCCATATCTTTTCGCTGTCTGCCGGGCTCGTTCTCCTCTCTGCTCCCTCCATCTCCTCACAGCCTCCCCTCATTTCAGTTATCTGATGGTAACGACTGACACATCTGTGTTTTAAACCCGGGTTTGTGGAGATTACAGCGTGGCACACCTACTGTATCTAAGGATCAAGACGTCAGCTAACACAATCCTTGTTTAGATCGGGTGCTTGGAAGCTGCCATTCATGTTTCTTCTGTTCTTCTGTTAAAACTCGTATTTTGAAACATTAAATCGAGAGTTATAGATAAAGTTGTTACATAGTTGTTATATACTTTTATATAACATACAGTGCTTAAGAAATGTATTAGACCACTATCCAGTCAAAGGGTTATACCGCATCTGCCATAAATTCAGACTTTATAATTGGTAAACATTTTTTTTTCTTTTTGTAATGGCTAATTTACTGCTTTTTTACACTAAACTCTTTAATCAAAATTATTTTTCTAATGTTTAAGTATAATTATTGTTTTTTCCAAAGCAGATTAAAGTAGCAAAGCACTTTTTTAAAAAATTATTTACTTGCATTCCTGAACAGAAGCGGTTTGATGTTGTGCTTGATTAATTTCTGAGAGAAGTCAAGTGTTTTGACTCAAATTTGGACAGAAGAATGTAAAATAAATAAATAATAATAAATAGATAAATAAATTGTTTGAAACTGGTGTCTTTTTTAGCAGTGGTCTCAGAATTTGATTACTGCATGTATGAAGTTTGGGTCTGCTAATGGTGAAAGAGGAAAATAATAACACAAACTAAATTTATTATTGATTTAAATTAACTATACATGCTATCAATACACAGAGACTAATCAACGGAGTGTACTGTACATTTAGCTATGGAATATGTAAAGCTGAAATGTTAAATGTAATCAAAAAAATCAAAACAGACAAACAAGAGAATAGATGCGAACTGGCTTAAATAGGGGAAAAGCATTCCCGTCTGTGTGTATAGCATCGATTGCTAGACAAGGAGGGGTGGGCAATTCATTTTCCCAAGCGGCTAAATGAGAAATTGGGATTGTTGTGGAGGGACCAATAATCTTATAAAGAGATTAAAAAAATTAATAAATAAAAATATTGAGCAGAACTGAGAACCTTAGCCTTGTTTACAAATAGCCTGAAAAGGTATTTCTGCAGTAGTCAAGAAATATGCGCAATAGTTAGCATAACTAACATGAAATACAAATTACAGCTTTTTAAAATAAAAAAAAATTATAGATTTGCACATGTTTAAGCAGACAAGTAAAGAGTTGACTAAAGTGAACAAAGAGTAGAAATAGACCATCAGAAGATAATCATGACTGAAGAGGTGAAATTTAAGTGCCAGTTGATATTGTAAGCTAACAGCATGAGTAGCTGAACCTTACTGTCAGCTAGATGTAGTTAGAACACAGTTAAGAGTTAATAAAACTGATCAATTGAAAGTCAGAAAACATAACAAAAATATGAAAAGACAAAATCATTGTGTATAGCTGGTAAACGGATTAAAATTCACTGTTAAAGCTCAGTTTGTAGTTGATAAATGGGTTCTTGGGCTTTTGGGCTGTTTTTGGTGAAACATTTAGGAACCACTGTTTTATACAGTTTGCTGGCTGGCATGAAAAACCCTTCAACCTCCACTTTCCTTCTGCTGCCTTTATAGAGCAGCACTGCGTCATGGTAATCACCCAGGGTTCATTCAAAGCCATTTTCAAGCGTACTGATTTGATACAAGTAGTTACCATAATTCTTTCAAATGGCAAAAGTAAATAGCTCGTCTCTAACTGAACAGAAGGTGGATTGAACTGAATAGCAGGGACAGGATGTGTGGGTCTCGTCACTCATCATAAGCTCTACACTTTCCACAGGGATGATGAGCATGCCCTGATCCTGCAGTACTGCCAAACACTGGGGGGGGAGGCCTCTCCTTGCAGCCAGCCTCAGAGTCCTGCCCAAATCTTACAGGCTGTGGAGAAGGAAGAGCGCGGCGAATTGGAAAAGATCATAGCGCGTCTGGAGGAGGAGCAGAGGTAGGAGACAAACATCAAAACTGGCTAATCTTATTAAAATTGATAATTACGTCTTTGCTGATAGTGATTACAAGCTATTGATTAATTTTATGAAAAGTGACATTCTCAAAATGCATAAAAATGGGGTTTATCTGTTTGCCTTTGTTACGCTAAGTGTTTATTGACAGCTTCTTCTTTCAAGTACACGTGTACGCTCGAGTCACACTACAGCACACAGACACTTACCGTACCACCAGTGCATCTCACCCGCCAGCTCCTTCCCCGTTTTGATTTGTAAATGGAGTTGGTATAGACACAGAGTGACTGTGCAATCTATTGTTGTCGAGATGCTTTTTCCAGCATCTCGACTGGAGTGATTTAACACTGATTACACACACACACACACACACACACAGGCAGAGGGGAGCGGGTGAGAGCTTTACAGCTGGTCTCATAAATGCCAACTTAAGTAAAGTACTGCAGCTTATAGTTCTGCACTGAGAGGGTGAAGAGGAAGTGAGGCGAGAGATTTGGTAGGGCGCGTTATGTTTGGTTATCCACTGTGGATAGGATTTCACACAGAATGAAGAGGTAAACACGAGTGTGGTGTTTTGTGTGGCGTCCCGCTGTGGAGGTTCAGAACTGGCTTTTTGAATGTTTTAAGAATATTAAAACATTATATATTTACACGGGAAACACCAGGCAGAAGAACATATTCCCGTTATTTGTCCAATTTCCCAGCTGTTCAGCTGCCACAGCTTCTGCGTCAATTTCACATTCATCCATGTGTATGGACACATTTCTTGTTTCTTCACTTATTTGTTCTCAATTTTTCTTCAGGACACTGCAGAGGGAGTATGAGCAACTTAAGGAGCAACATGGACAGCGAGGCACGCCTACAGGAAGCCCCTGGGAGACGGAGGGCCCCTCGGCCCACCCCGATGAGGCAGATCTTTTAGCTGAAGCCAGGCTGCTACGACAACACAAAGGCCGGCTGGAGACCCGCATGCACATCTTGGAGGAACACAACAAACAGCTGGAATCTCAGCTTCATCGCCTCCGACAGCTACTGCACCAGGTGACGTATCATGTACACATTTTATCCCCGACTTGGGGTTATGTTTTGTTCCCGTTACCGACTGTAGTTTTGGTGCTTTGCAGACAGAAAACATGCAGTTTCTCTGAAAATAATTTAAAACCTGAAGTAACATTGTTATTGTTAATACAGCAAGTTCATACAGCACACGATTACTGTCTTATGGCTAGTAGGACCAATTTGCAGCAGAGCAGAAGAATTATGGTTTTCTCCTTTGAGTACAGCACATACACAACTGCAATATAAAGTTTATTTTCCACATTAGCTTCCTTTCCGTTCAGTTCATTAGGCTTGTTGTTGAGGAGCAGCAGGGCAGTAATCACGGTTCACAGACTCACTCACACACACCAGCTGGCAGGGCTGTTTCAGACGGCTCAGGAAAAAAATAATTTAAGCAGACGTAAAAGTAAAATGCTGATACAGAAAGCTTCCAGTAAATTAAAGGGATTCGTTCAAAGTCGAGCTCCATCATGAGCTTGCAGTTATTAATCCCGAAATCCACATGATAACCCACCTTTATCACAATTTTTAAAAAACTGCTCATCATCATTCAGATTAGATCCTAATCACATCATTTCCATTCCACCCAGCATCCATCTCCGATCTCCGTATTAATAACTTCCAGATTTGTTTATACCCGGCCTAATTGCTCACTGAGGTTGGATTGTTTGTGCCAAGTGAGAAATTCACAAGCCTCAAGCCAAACAAGCAGCAATCCTGACAAAGCAAACTGAGGGAGGGGGGGGCAGGTATTGGCTCTCTGGAAGCTGAGAAGCTGTGAGCATGGGCAATAACTCATAACAACAGGCGGCAGCTGACGTGACTCAGCAGATATTTAATGGCAGATGATTAACATTTGGACAGAAACAGTTTTAGTATTGCACTCTCACAAAATTTAAATTTGTCCTTCAGCAGAAGTACAGTAGATAAAATAAAATATTAAATAGCTGTTAGGACACTGATTTCTACTTTCTCTTAGAATGCAGTTAATGATGCAAGGTTTCCAGATACTGGTAGTGTTATTAGGACATACAGACACTATAACCCACATTTGCTCATTGATTCAATTTGTCAATTTTAACTCTACAAGCATCATTTTACCACCAGATTGTAGGAAATGTTTTTGTTTTTTGTTTTTTTTTTTAAATCTGTAGTATTTAAGTGAAAGGAGTGATATCTGGGTGGCCCGTTATAATTTGATCAAGGAAAAACTAGAAATAAGCACTTTTTTATGTAGCTTCCATGACCATGTTTTTAAAAGTAAAATCACAAAAACATTGGTTTTTGGTGGATTTCTTCTCACTTTCTTGACATCAAGTGTGGGAAACAAGATGTATATGTAGGTTTTTTTTCCCAGTCAGTTATCTAAAACGAGCTAACGTCATACTGCAGTTTGAAGGCAGTTTGAAGTATTTTGGCTGTCATTCACAATTTAAAGCTGCCCCTCTCATCGTCCGTCTCACACACAATGTTAGATAACAGTCCTACACCCTGACAGTGGCAGTGACCTGCACGGGTTTGTCAGATTTTCTAAATAAAAGTCCTTAGTTTCTAAATGGAAGACCAGTATGCTTCAAATTCAGTGTGTTTTCTTAATAAATAAAAGGTTAAATGTGTTATTATTAATCTGTCAATGAGAACAAAAGCATCAGAATAGTTGCAGGAATTGAACAGGATTCTTTAAAAATTTCATTATGGCTTCAGTTATTTATCGGATGTTATTAAGGTGCTTTGATGCTGTGAAATTTTCAAAAATAAAAGCTCCCAATTAATATTTATAACCTGAAGAGAATGCTTAAAAAATTCATAATTAAAAAAATGCATCAGTTATAGTTTGCCAGCATCCTTAAGGTGCCACATTTCCAAAATAAAAGCCTCAAATTTAGTGTTTTTTCCCCCTAACTTTTAATGATACAAGTATCAAAAGCAATCTCCCTTCAGCTTCATTAGCTCACCAAATCACTTCAAATCTTTTAGCAACAAGCCACAGAGCAACCAGCAGCAGCATCACTTGCACTGCAGTGTTTTCAGTGTTTTTTCTTTAAGTGCCTGTATTATTGTAGGGTCTTTAACTTACAATTCAAAGCACCTTGTGGAGAATTTTTTTGTAATTTGCCACTGCATTAAATAAAACAGAATTGGGGGGGAGAAAAAAAATTGAAGTTTAACTGAATATTTTATGACTTCCCATGGTGTCTAATTAATGATGGCAAACCGAAAGTCATTTGGCAATTCTCATCCCTATACTACACACAGAACTAAAGAAGTAAAGCGAATCAAGGACTGTGTCGCTCATGTTTATTTTGAATGCTAAAACGTTTGCTATAACTGTCAAATTATAGCGATGAGGAAGTAAAGTCTCAAAGTAGAAATGCTTGAAAAACCTGCGCTGAAAGGCGATTCTTAATTTGGTTTATACAGCAGACTGTCAGGTTGCAATGTGCTGTAGTGTTGTATACTGTCTAAGCTACTGCATTTCTACCTCCGCTGAGTTAGCCTTGTTTAGACTTTCCATCAATGCTGCCGCATGCTGCAGTGGATTTATTCTGACGCTGATTGCAACAGACAGAAAATCCAAACATAAACGGCGCACACAGCTACCTGCACACATGGAAACGTCCAAACACTTACGTAAGAACTACAGTTCTCAGAGAGTCCCCGGAGACCTGACGATGTGTCAACACGTCTTTCCATCAAGTGCTGTGTTACTGCCAAGCTTCAGAGTAATAAACCCAGCCTGCCTGATGGCACGCATTAAATTCACACTCCCGAAGGGTGACCAAAACCCTGACCTGAGCTATTCTAAGACGAGCCTCGAGACACTTGGTTGTGCTCCAGAGACGTTTCCAACATGTTAGCCTTCGCTAGCGCTAGGGGCACGAGGAGATGAAGGAGGAGAGGAAGAAGGAGGGTATATGAGAGAGGGGAGGGAGCATTGATTTACTTTCTTGAACTTGAAAAGCCAAAGGGAATGGGAGATTGTGCCGTGAATGTCACTGGACATGAAGTGTTCACTTCTGAGCATCTGAGAAATTGGTTTTTCAACAGACTTTTGACATATTCTGCAGTGTGTGTGTGTGTGTGTGTGTGTGTGTGTGTGTAATATATTAATTTATTTGTGAATCTTTAGATCTTGAGAACACAGCAGACTGGGGGGCAAATAATTATTTGTTATATCAAGATGAGGCTAGAGGTTACAGAGTGGCAAGAAGCAGAGAAAAATCCTAAATATGAGCACTGTTGTTTAGATTTAAGTATGTACTATCATCTGTTTTAACCATTTTCTACTTCAGTTATATTTAAGAGCATGTGCACATATTTTTTACCTTTCCACTCACTGAAGACCATCAGGGTAAAGCATTTGAGCTAAAACAAAACAAAAAACTGGGCTAATTTTAATTGAGGGCTTGAAATGTGATTGATACTGTAGTGTGTTAAACTCAGTTTTGGCTTGTTTGGGGAAATTGTACACATGACAAGAGCCTCGTTGTGCTGCCCTTTGGTTGTTTCTTGTCTCCGCCTGCTGCTGTGAAGCAGGGCTAATTTTGAAGTTGTCAAGCAGCCACCAAGTGGAATAATTGTGTTATAATGACTAAATGTTCTTTTGTTTTGTTTTGTTTTCATGTCTGTCTCTCCATCAGCCCGATGTGGACTCGAGGGTAAATGGATTGTCCTCCCCCATCGTGCAAGATCGAGGGCCACTTACTGAAAACTCAGGTGAGACACTCAAGCTGAAAAAGGCTTAATGTACTGTTGTTTATTTAAATAGGAAGATATCAGTCCATTGCTCACAACAGAGAAAAAATATTCGCTTTTCTGTAAATGTAAACTGTTCCTCGCTGTGGTGCAGTATTAAAGTGTGAGTGCGTGTGGTAACTGAAAATCAACCTCTCTGTGCTTTGCGTGCATGTGTGTTCAGATGAGCTGTTGGACTCCCATAACAGCAGCTCTGACCTGGCAGATGTAATGGAGCAGATTAACAACTCCTTCCCTGCATGCAGTCGTAAGTTTCCCAATCCTCCTCCTCGAATTTCCCACCGTGTCTTCCCAGCCTCCTGCAGCAGATTTTTTTTTTTTTTGTCTCACCATAAGGTCGAAGGTCAGCAGAGGAAAAAGTACAGTTTGCTTAACCGGAAAAGCCCTTCACAGAAAAACTGATGTAGCATGTGCAAGATACAGTGCTGTGATCATTTCTTACTTTTTTACATATTTGTCACACTGAAATCTTTCAGATCGTCAAAAAATGTTTAATATTAGACACAGATAACCTGAGTAATTGCAAAATACAGTTATTCAATGACTATTTCATTTATGAAGAGAAAGGAGCTACCTGCACCTACCTGGCCCTGTGTGAGAAAGTAATTAATCTCCTCCTCGTTAAACGATGAATTAACTGTGATTAACCACATTTTTTGGAATGCTGAGCTCAATTTCACTACCCACACTCAGGCATGATTACTGCCAGACTGGCTGAATCAAGAAATCATCTAAACAGAAGCTGTCTGAGGTAGGCTAAAAGATCTCAGAAAGCAGCGTGCCACGATCTAAAGAAGCAGCTGAGAAACAAAGTCATTGACATCTATCAGCCTGGAAAGGGTTAGAAAGCCATTTCTTAAGCTTCGGGACTCCTGTGAACCACGGTGAGAGCCATTAGTTGCACATGGAGAAAACTTGGAGCAGCAGTGAACCTTCTCAGGAGTAACCGGCCTACCAAAATTATCCCAAGAGCGCAGCGACGACTCATCCAGGAGGTCACAAAATAACTCAGAACAACATCATCTGCAGGCTTCACCTGCCTCAGTTAAGGTCAGAGTTCATGATTGAACAACAAAAAAGAGACTGGCAAAAATGGTATCAATGAGAGAGTTCCAAGGAGAAAAGAACACAAAGACTGGTCTCACATTTGCTAAAAAAAAACCAACGCTTTTGGGAAAAAATATTCTGTGTACTGACGAGACAAACGTTACATCTGGCACAAAACTAACACAGCATTTTAGAAAAGAATATCATAGCCAAAGTCAAACATGGTGGTGGTAGTGTGATGGTCTCGGGCTGTTTTGCTGTAATTGGAGGAAGCATGAACTTTGCTTTCTACCAGAAAATCCTGAATTCTGACCATCAATCAGCTCATGTCCTGAACCTCAAGCACACTTTGGATGTAAACACTGGGTTATCTGGACTTAAATCTGATTGATATGCTTTGGCATGACCTTGAGCAGGCTGTTCATGCTGGAAAATCCTCCACTGTGGCTGAATTAAGACAATTCTGCAAAGAAGAGTGAGCCACAATTCCTCCACATTGATGTGGAAAGCTCATTTCTAGTTATCACAAACTGCTCGATTGCAGGTCTTGAAGCCAAGGGTGCCACATTAGTTTATTAGCAATCGCTTTTTCACTTAGGACCAGGTACTCTAGGTTTGGACAGCTTTGTCACTTACTTAAAAGAAATTTAAAAACTGCAGTTTGTATTAACTCGGGTTATCTTTGTCTAATATTTAAATTTGTTTGATCTGAACTATGTGTTTGCGACTGAGATAAATTTGCCAAAACAGACTGTTGAATTGCTGGGACAGGAGAATATTTGGCAGTTTAGCTTCAATCACGTCTGGAACAACAAAGAGTTTTTAAAAATAGTTGCTATTTACAGTAATTGTCTGTCATCTTACTTATTAAATACCACCTTTTACATTTCAGCTACACAAATGGTTTTGTAACATTCCCCTCTTTTATCATACTATTTTACATATTATTGTTAAAACAGCATTGAATGTTATTAAGCAGTATTTAACTTAGATCCGTTAGGTTCATGGGATAACTGAAATTACACATGCATGGCATGAAAGTCAATGATTCCCAGTATGTTCACAGCACAACACTGACTTTAGACATCTCTGAGGTATTTTTTCCGCTAAAAAGGTGCACGCTTGAGCCTGTGGAGAAATGGTGGTACTTTTCTGATGTAATCATCATAATCTACAATATCAACCATACTCATCACCCGCCTTCTGATTTTTTTTTTTTTTAACCACCTCTCAGTGCTCTTATCGATCCTCGTGTCTTCTTCCTCTTTCAGCCCCTCGCACACTCCTGCTCTGTATCCTTCCTTTTTATTTCCTCGTCTCTCACGCTGCCACTCGGCTTTGTGCCTGTTTCCCGTGTCTTTGTGTGCACAGCAAAGTGTCAAGTATTGTAATCCTGAACTCAGATGGTCTCGTCCTGAAATTTTCTGTTTTCGGATGTTTGCTCAGTGCGGTCCAGGTTCCTCTGCACCCATTTGTGACTTTGTGCCTTCGATTCTGATGTCTGCTCAGATGCACAGAGTTTAAATACAGGCCTAATTGTTTCAGCCATCATCATTTAAATTTGGTATTTGATCAAATTGGGAAGAAAACGTTATAGCTCATTACTCCTAATAGCTGAATCTGAAACAATATTCACCTTTGGGAACGTTAATCAAATAGCAAAATAAATTAGAACGCTAAAATATCGAGCTCTGTGGTTTTTAAATTGTATTCCATTATTGGAGAGTCGAAACTCCTGCGAGGGCTTTAGTTATAAATCCATTGTAATCTGGCACACGTTCCAGCGTTATTAGAATTTGGTTACTGCATAGCTCGGAGGCACCGGGACTCAGCCGCTCAGTGTGCGCACAAGTACGTGGGAGGTACCCAGAGGCTGACAATTTTGTGTAGACTCATAAATGCTGAAATGAACTGGGGAGTTCAAGTGTTAAACTGCTCTAATTTTTCTTTGTTTTGCCTCCTGCAGCCTCAAGCCTCTCCTCGAGACCACAGGTAAGACGTTCTCCCATAAATTTAAAGACGCAACAGGGGATGTTAATTTTTTTTCTTTTCGCAGTGGGTTGTTTTTTTGTTCTTACGCCGTATTGTTTGTATTGAGGGATTGGTATTTTGGTAATTGGCAAAGGTGAGAGAAGTTGGAATAGAGCACGTTTTAGAGGTAATTACAGCTGCTGCCACAAAAGCAGTCCCCTCCACGAAGCCTTCACCTGCCTCAACCCTCCACATTCTGTGAGAAAGCGGCTGCTAATGGATCCCAGGGGAGTGCCATTAACGGCTCCTCTCTTTCTCTCAGTCTGAGGCCAAGGTGCATTTTGGGACAGAGGTATTGTGAAAGCTGTTGCCGCTGACCTCTTCCCACTGTAATTATTTACCCCGCTCCGGTGTCCCTTGGTTCTGCTTCACACCTCTTTTCCCCTCAGGGTCTTTTTAAGCTGCTCAGCTTGTCTCCCTGCACAATAAGCAGTACTTTTACATGCCAGTTAAACTGCCTATTTTCTGAGAGTCAGACATTTCTACTTTTCTCTCTGTTGACCAGAACAATACAGCCCGTCCTTTCAAGCAGTTTGCAACTCAAAATTTACATTGCTGTTAAAAACTTTGTCCTCTTCCTGATTTCTTGGTTTGCTTGTTTTTTTGTTTATTTGATAAACATACATGTTTGAGATCGAAGATATTAGACAAAGATGCCCAGAGTAAATACAAAATGCAGTTTGTTATCCAAACCTACCTGGTAATTCCCCCCTATGTCTAATAACTGGTTGTGCCACCTTTGGCAGCAAGAACGACTGGCTATGAGTATTTCACATCCCTGTGCAGGAATTTTTGTCCAATTGTTTTAATTCAGCCACACTGGAGGGTTTTCATGCATGAATGACCTGATTAAGGTCGTGTCAAAAAGTCTCATTTGGTGCAGACGTTGACTAGGTCAATCCAAAACCTTCATTTTGTTTGTTTTTTTGTATTTTTTGAGTCATTCAGAGCTGGGCTTGCTGGTGTGTTTCGGATCATTGCCCTGCTGCAAATGCTCTTGAGCTTCAGGGCATGAACTAGTGACAGAGTAATTTCCTTTAGGATCTTCTGGTGAAAGGTAGAATTGTTGTCAGGATGTTGGTGCAATAATCGTTTTATAAAAATGCCGTGTTAGATTTACTCCACATGTAATTCATGTACTTCAAACCTTCCAAAGAGTTCAGCTTTTGTCTCCTCAGTCCACAGAATATCTTCCCCAAAGTCTTGGGGATCATCTTAGACGAGCCTTTGTGTTGGATCCACGAATGTCATTTTTGCCCAGTCGTTTTCTTGTTTAATCACGAACTCTGACCATAACTGAGTCAGGTGAAGCCTGCAGTTCTTCAGATGTTGTTCTGGGTTCTTTTGTGACCTCCTGAATGAGTCTTTGATGCTCTCTCGCTTTATTTGTGGTAGGCCGGTTTACCATGTTCTCACACTGGTTCATTGGAGGCCCAAAGCTTTAGAAATGGCTTTGTAATGCTTTCCAGACTGATAGATATTAATGACTGTTTCTCCGCCCTTTCTTTCGATCGTGGCATGATGTGTTGCTTCCTGAGATCAGACAGTAATCAGGCCTGAGTGTGGGTACTGAAACTGAAACTGAGCTTTCCACAGTTAATTTATCATTTAGCAATAAGTTTTTCACACATAACCAGGCAGGTATAGCTTCCCCCCCCTTAATAAATGAAATTATCACCTAAAAACTGAATTTTGTATTTACTCGGGTTATCTTAGTCTAATATTAGAATTTGATCGACCTGAAACATAATGTAAAAAAACCTAAGAAATCAGGAAGACTGCAAATACTTTTTTACAGCACTGTGAGTTTATGACTTGTATTCATTATCTACATAAGCACTTTGACTACAAACACTATGTGAACCACAGGTCTCCTCATTCTTCTGTTCTCCTGCAGGTTCCATGTTAATGATGTGTTTATTTACCACCTGCTTTGGAGTACGTTCCTCTGTACAATAATGCAACCTCATCTGACTCATCTGCAGCAGTGTTACACAACACATGCATTACCACATCAATTGAATATTAAATCTAATGAGTTCATTTCCCAAACATCTTCCACTCCTGGCTTTTTATAGTCCTCGGCGGACAGCGCTCCATGCACTCTCCTTTAACTTCAGCGCAAAGCTTTAGTTTGAGTGCCTAATTTCATTTCTGAGGAGAGCTCTGATTTGTAAAATCTTCCCAGATTCATCCATGCCCACCTCCCACTTTCCCCCCTCTGCGCTCCTAATGGACTCTAACTGGCTTGAGGGACTGCAGTCCATTTGCCAGCTCTCAAACCCGATTACTTTGTTTGAACTTCTGACGTTTCCACACGGTGATGTCTTGATGAAGAGAAATGAGGCGGGTTCACCTGCAGCGCTCGGGACTAACCAAAGAGACTCATAAATCCGAGCTTTTCTGTGGCTGTATGTGAACTGGCGCTGTCGTGTTTCAAGATTCTTGCTTTTTGTCGTCTGATCCAAAGCGTTTTCTCTCTGTGTGTTTTCAGATGATGTGAGGACTGACTGGAGGATGGAGAGACCATTCCCACACAAACAAAATCCCCTGCCCCTAAATCCCAAAGACGCACAGGAGCAGACAACTTAACTACTTTTACCACCTTGTCTTGTACTATGCAAACTGTATATTTTATGAACTGTAGATTGTACCGAATTGAACATTTGTCAGTGATTTATTTAGGTATGCAGATGAGTATATGGACACGGGGCTTTGTATAGATTTTTTTGTTTTGTTTTTCAGAGGGTGGTTGGGATTTTGTTTGAATTCTGTTGACTTAACTGGGAATCAAACTGTTCCATTTTTATTTGTCATTCCACTGCTTTGTACCATCGAGCCCCGAATAGCCCCAGACTTTTGTTAAATGCTTGGGGAGCGCACACACTGCTCCCGGTGGCTGAAAGGATCGTTTCCAAAATGTAAACTATCACCTCTCGGATCACCTGGTTTGTTTTCCTATCTATCTCGTAGCATGCTTGATGTCAAGTTCCCCTTTAAAAAGCATCGATATGCCGGCAGACTTTGTCTCAGCTGCGATTTTGTTAAAGTAAACTTTTACCCCTTCTGTGCCTACAAAGTTTGTCGTTCCACACGTGGAAGACGGAGGTGAGAGTCGATGTATTATTGTGGGATTGTGTAAAAATGGTTTTGGAAGTTACAGATTTAAATCTAAAGTTGTTTTGAATCTGGGTTTATGAAAGGCCCGCCGTTATCATGTAGAATAGGTTTGGTTTGTTTTTTTAAAAGAGATATATGTTCAGAAATCAGAGGAAAGCCATGATTGCCTTGCTACCTCAGACTCATAGACACAGTTTTGTTTTTGTGGTTCGTAAACTCGTCAAACAGTTGTGTGTTCATTTACAACCATGAGCAACCTGGTATAGATTTCTAAGCTTTAGCTCACTGTATTGGTGTACACTGCAATGAGGAGTTACCAAGTTTAAAAAAAGGAAAAAAAACAAGTTACTATTACTGTACCACGATGGGTCTGTGGCCTGCTGAAGCTAGCCTCCCGTTATGATGAGTAGTATTTTATCTGTTGCTGGGTTGTTTTGGGGGGGTTTTCCACTGGCCTTCTAGCACTGGTCCCTCACTGCGTCGTGTTGTTGTGCTATATGCTACCCTGTAAAACTTGTGAGATTGAACAACACTACTATAACCTCTGACTGTAAACTGATGGTGATGATGATTTTAATGATCATGATGAACCGTACCATGGCAGAACTGTGTCGCTTCTCCTGAGGTATGTAAAATAGATGGACCACACTACATGTAATATGGCTACGTTGTTTTATTCAAAATAAAATTTTTATAACAAGTACACGTCCCCCATGTGCTTTCGTTATTACCTCCACCACAGGAGGTTATGTTTTTGGCAACGTCTGCGTTTAAAGTTGAAAATGATGTCGTGTTGTCGAAGTTTGTGAATGCGTTAACCCGAGAACAAAGCAATGTAGGAGTTTTAAATTTACACCATAGGTATATCTACTAAAAATCTTTTTTTTTTTTTCTCGTCATTTAGGGACGTGTTCGGTGCTCTGAAGCGTAATATGTTTACCATTTGTCACCTAGCATGAAATATTACATTTTGGTAGTGCGAATGTGTTTTGCCCACACAAGCCAGTCTTAACTCCCCATGTGCATCAGTGAGCCTTGGCTCCCCATGACCATGTCACTGGTTACTTCCTTGGACCACTTTTGATAGATGCTGACCACTGCAGACCAAGGACATCCCACAAGAACTACAGCTTTGGACATGCTCTGACCTAGTCGCGTAGCCATGACAATTTAACACTTGTCAAACTCACTCAAATCCCATTTTTCCTGCTTCTAACGCGTCAATTTTACAGACAAAATGTTCACTTGCTTCCTTATACATCGCACCCACTAACAGGTGCCAGATGAAGGATGACGAGATAATCATTGTAATTCACTCACCTGATCAGTGTATAGAAAGTACCATATAAAAATTTAAAGTATCATGTCACATGTGACCTCTGACCTCTCCTTCAAGGTCAATAGATTGATCTGAAGGTCATAGTGATAAACAGCTCTTCATAGCTTCATTAATACTGTTTCTTACTGCCATTGTTTGTACTGACAAACACATATATGTTGATATATGTTATGGGGATTGTAAATGTTACTTTACTTTGGACCTCCAACCTCTTCTTCAAGATCAAATGAGGTCAAACTTAAGGCTTAAGTCAAGTTTATTAAAATGAGTTTCAGCCGGGCAAATAACAAAAGCCTGCACTTTGCACTGCTCGTTACTCTTCTATTAAAAGTGAGAGAGCGAGCTGCCTTGGCGCATGTTTGTGCACTTGAAGGTTGTTTAACGCTCTAAATTTTATTAATGTAATGCAGATTAATAACTCTACAGACTCATAATCTCTAATCAGATTCAAAGCACACCTGTTTTAAGGACTATAGGGCTTATTACAGCGAACTCCCTCAGCTGTCATCCAGCCACAGGAGTCGTTATTTATCAAAGGAATTGATCACGCAGTGAGAGGTTGTATCATTATTGCATGTTTGCAGTGAGCATGCTGAGCTGTAGCTGAGAACTCAAAATGAATAATGAAGCGCAATTAGCTTTTTCATAATTTACTTAAACCCTTCAGATGGTTTTTTTTCTTCTTCTTCACTGGAGCAGCATTAGTGGTGCTGCACGCATTAATTATTTCACTTTTCTCAGCGATTGCACGATGTTTTGACTAAAGACATCTACCTTCATCTTGCTTGGCTGTTCCTTGATGGTGGCTATGAATGAAAATCTGACGGGACGTGTGATGTCACGGTGATGGAAAATCAGCTCATTTTATCAACCTGTCCGACTAAATTGTCTCCCAGCAGGAGACCGTCAGCACTCTATTAGACCGTGCCAAACCTAAATTGCTTGTTTTTCAGTTTAAATGCTCCTTCCTAAACTTGCAGCACTTCCTGTCATTCTTGCCTCATCGCATCAAACCTGTATAATCTTGTGCTCTCCAGGAGAAAAATTAACTACAGGCACACCAATCTCTGATCACTTTATGCACCTTTTCCTCTTTCTTGTTTTTTTTAAGTTGAAACACCTGTACAGATTCAACAAACCAGGCAAGGAAAGTAGTTGATTTCCCCCACCGTGTATTCTTAATGGCGTTCCCCATCATTCAAGGTCCAGCAATTCCATACTTAATAATGCAAGAGTAGCCAAATGGTGGTGCACCCTAATTGGATCTGAGGCTACTACATATTCTGGCTCTGCTCACATCCTTCAGCACCCCTGAGGTGCTTTAATTAGTCTACCACTCCCATATCTGTAATATGCTGCAAGAGTCGGCCCATATATGCAGAGGCAAAGGACGTTTTAAGCTGTAAAGTACTAGAGTGAGGGAGATGTGCTAATGTGATTTACTATATCCTATAATGAAATGCTACTGTTGTTGTTAATATTAATCTTACAAGTGAAATTTGATTTTGACTTCTGATGGCCTCATATAAAACTCAGTTGAACTAAGATTGCAGGAATTATTAGAAATCTTATACACATTTTAATCCTGTCTGGTTGGAGCCGAGCTCTCGGTGCATCAGGCTGTCAAATTCGAGTGAGGTGCAGTGTTTTTGCTAGACTGAGCAGAAACGTCAGTTTGTCATTACGTGATATCAATTTAAGTAAAGTTCAGGCTAGATCTGGGAAAGAAAATGAATAATTCAGTCTAGACTGGAACTCCCTACAACAGCGTCCTGTGGTTGTAATCTTTATTTCCCAAAGGACCCTGTTGAATAGATGGTGGTGAAGCTGCTTTACTGTGAGGTTTGGCCATAGGGTGCAGTGAGATGTGCTGAAATGACGATATATTTACAGACTAGATGTTTAACTGTCCCTTCCACTCACTCCTGTGAGTTTACTCCTTAAGTGGTATAGCTGGAGCTCCCACACCACTCCATGATATCAAACTTGTATTAAAACCAGTCATTTATTTGTGAATAGAATTTAAACCCTGAACCGTGTAAAACACAGGTGTCAGACTCAGTTTGCCTTGTGGTCCAGATAGATCCCACTCTGATATTAAGTGGGCCAGACAAGTGGAGCCCCTCTTTCTTTCGGTATAAGAAAAAGTTGATTTGATCAAATTTAATCCTAATCTATGAGAAAGAGTTCAATTTCAACATTAACAGATTTTTTTTCTACATGACAAAGAAATTCTACTGTAGTAAATGGAAGAGGGTCGACTCTTTGGGCTTAAATCGCAAGAAATAAACATGTAAAACTACAGAAAGCATACTAGTAGCTGTAGTTCATTGACTGTCCTGTAATTATAAAACTGAGTTTTTCTTAATTCACAGAAATTCCTAAAGTAGAGTGTGAAAAAACTAAAACTCTCCTGACACAACTTAAAAAATATATATATATACATATATATATTACTTGATCTGACCTATCTCCACTAACCTCATGTCTTTGGACTGTTGGATGCCGGAGTACCCAGTAAACTAATCTTAACTAACTAACTTAACTATTTTTATTCATCTCAGGCATGAAAAGATGAATAAAAATATTTAAGAAAACAATAACACTAATTACAATGAAACACGTCATACATCTATAGTAACATTAAACCACCAGTGGGTGGCAGGGTATGGAGTGACACATCACCGTCCAATGCAGTGGTTTATGTGCAAGTGTACCATCAACACTGACACAATTACAAGAAAGCAGCCTTTGAATAGCTTTCTACTGTAGTGACCGCTATGCGTGAAAGGGTTAAATGTAATTTAAATTTAATATTAAAAATACACAAATATTATTATTATTATAATTATTACTGAAGTTTTGAGTCTGTGCTGCCAAACATTAATAACACTTAATGCCATATCCAGCACTTATTTACTGCTCCATACTGTAGTGGTTAACACTTTCACCTACCAGGCCAAAGACCCGTCGTTTGATCCCGGGAGGAGATGCAAAATGTTACTAGTGTAAAAAATGATGCCTGCTGGGGTTTGCAAACAATCCTAAAAAATCTCAAGTACAAACATTATAGTCAGACATTTATTTATGTACTTTAACAAGTACAACACCATGAGGTTGCAGCCCTTCAAATTTCATACACACATGACATTTTGGCATACATGCACTGCTAATTTGGACACCATAGTTGTGTAATACCGCTACTTTTTGCATCATGTAAGTGACTGCTTTTCCCCCCGATCTACTTTGTGTGAACGAACTGAACCTATTTGATGGATTTGTTGAATTCTCAAGCACTCTGTTTGCTCATTTTGCTCAGAGCTTTACTGAAAAGCGGTCTGTGTGAAGAAGGCAAGTGCCTGCAGGTTCATTTAATTTCATTCAAATACAGCCGAGCAGTTTGAAAGACAGCACTTTCTTTCATCTCCGAAAACTTCAAACAACAGTGATTTTGCTGCGAGGTGTTGAAGATGGGGTCAAATACGCACTGATGCAAAGGGAAGTAACCGAGCAATTTACCTCACTGAAGAACGGGGCCCTCATAAATGTCACACCTTCCTCTGTTTCTTTGTTGGTTCATGCAGGGTTTCCCCTGTTCTGTGCATACGAGCCTCTCACAGGGTCCTAGGTAGTGTCTAATCTAGTTAATTTTCTTGTCCCCTAGTCCATTTTCTCCTCTAAGCAACACCATCTGTGATCTGCGAATTCTCTTTGCTGTGGGCAAAAACAGACCACGGCGCCTCCAGGCTTTGGCCGTATGGCCTCAGCAGTCCCCTAACTAGCCAGCTCATTTTTTAGGATGCTGGTGCCACTGATGATGCTGGATGTTTATTTTTATTTATTTTTTTCCTCCCCTGCACATTTTTCATTCATAAAGCAATGCTGGCTTGCAGATCAGTTCGACAGCTGTCCTCTTTGATCAGATGCTTGGCAGGCAGCGGCATAGCTGGTATGGGTGTCTTGGTGGGTATAGCTGCCCCTGGCACAAGGCAAGGACAGGGAACAGATGTTGAGGGGGAGGCAGGACCTGTGTGGGGTGTAGGATACAAGCTAGACCTCAGACAGATGAAGTCAGAGAGAGTGGGGAATGGATGAGCACGAGGCAGGCAAACTAGATGGGAGACTCAAAAACGGATTAAAGAGGAGAGCTGCTGTAATTTCTGTTTTCATTATCGGTATCATGTCAGCAGTGGAATCTCTTTTATGCTGACACAGTTGCCCTGCATGTAAAAGCTCCATCACACACAAACTTGAGTTAAACTTGTATCCTAATGATCCTCCTGGCTTTAACAGTTCCTTCGCAGTACTTATCTGCTGAAGTTTATTGTCCTCGGTGCACTTCAGACCCACAGAATATGCTGAGC